ACCATTTAATTTGATACTCACAAAAGATGGGAAATTATCTTTATTTTACACCTGAAAAAATGGAGTTTCAATGAGGTTAAAGGATCTGTCCAAACCAGCAAGTGACAAAGCTAGGATGAGCCCCCAGGTGTTTTAGGCTTTAGTCTAAGGCCAATGACCTCACAGTAGCATCAAGAATTAGACCTTGTGGGGCCTCCCTGGTGGCCTAGGGGTTAAGCCCTATCACGGCTTCTCCCATTTCACCTGCTGCTCCCCTTAGCAGTGTACTTCAGTAAATCCACCTGTTCTGCTCCCCACTCTGCTTCTGGTGAATTCTGTAGGCCACACCTCTGGCCTACACCCCAGTTCTAATATGCAAAAATAAATAAAATCTTTAAAAAATAATAAGAATTAGACCTTGCCTTGCCCTTAGGAATGGAGCCTGGAACAGAGGTTGGGAACCTTTAATGAACTAACCAGGTGCTCCCAGAATCCTGCAGTGGAATCTGAGGAAAATGAACTCATTTTAAGAGTAGAGTTGATGTGTCTATCAGCCAATGTGTGTGTTTAGCTCCTATAGTGTAAAGCAATGGAAGAAACAAACAAAAAAAGAATTTTTGACAATGTTATCTAATGTGTAATGTTCTCAAGTATTCTGCTCCCCATGTTGTCCAGTGTGGTCATGGAAAGCTAACCCATGTTTGTTTGCTTATTCATTTTATTTTCTCAGTGTTCACACTGTGTTGGGCATCATAGGTGTTGAGGATGTAATAGTGGGAAAACAAAGTCCTACCTTTATAGAATGTTCATTTCATTTTTAAATCTAAAATTTCTTAAATCTAAAATTATCCCACCTTTTCCTGAAAGTCAAAGATTTATGATATGCTGAAGTATAGTGTTTTTGATCAATTAATGCATGGAAGAACAGAGAATGATCTTTTTGGATATGATATTGAGGGTTTTATGTGCATTGCTGTTGTCTCTCAACAGTTTTGAGAGGTCTAGCTATTAGTTCCCTTTTACAGGTTTTGAAAAGACTGAGAAACTTCTCCAATCTTACATATCCAGCAAGTGACAGAATTCATTTTCTCAGTTATATGGTGAGGGGATTGGATTAGATACGATTTCCTTTCCAGGCCTGTGGTTTAAAATTTAAATCTATGCTTTCAGCTGAACCCATACTCTTAAATATTAAATATAACATGGTTCCAAGCACTTTGCATGGATTTGCTCATTAATCTCCACAGTATCTAGTAAGGTGGGTACTACAATTATCCCATTTTTATGAATGAGAAAACAAGGGGTCCCAAAGTGGGGGGCGGAGGCTAGAAAGTGACAGAACTGGAAATTAAACCCATCTGTCTTACTCCAAAGTCTTTGTGCTTAATCATTACACAGTCTTCCTCTGAACAGGCTAATGTGTGAATAGGTGCGGATGGAAAGTTTCAAATTTTAGAAAATCATGAAAATTTTGATTCCTGGTGTCACTGGTGAGTGCAATGGAATTTTTTTTTACCATTGCACACACAGTATCTAATGCCCTAACATACATACAGAAAACAACTAAAAAATGTTAGACAAAAAATTTATTACTAGCAATCTACTTTATCCTCAGCATTAACATTGCCTAGTTTGGCTTTTTCACTTACAAAACTCACCCTGCACCCATAAAAAGTTACATACAGAGTTCAGAGGGGATTTTTCCAATACCAGTTGTTCCAGAAAATAAAAAATCCACTTCTCTGGCGCCCTCTAGTGCTTAGCAGCCAATGCTAACAGTGCTGTATCTCCAGGAATTGCCAGAAGTGAAACCGGATTTGGATTTATTTTCTGCATTGTACACACAGAACACATATATGTGCCTTTCCAGATTAAAGTCTTACTTTCCCTTTCTGCATGTTACTCTACTCAGTGCTTATGTTGCAAATTGTAAAATATTTGTTACCTGAATCCCCCTAATGTCCTTAGACTGTAATTTACCTTATCGATTTGAGTTTCTTCATCTCCTGTTCCTAGAGACTCACTCAAACCTATAGAGTCCACTTATGTGTTTCTAGAACTATATTATAATACGCATTATCTGGCCACCCTGCTCTTATTAGCTCCTTCTCTGTGTCTTTCTCACTTAGGCAAAGGCTCTGAATTCCTTGATAATTTAAAGCTGCAAGACGTTTTCTTTGGTTTGTTTGTTTTTTAATTTTAATTATTTCATTGAGCTAATGTTGGTTTACCACACTGTATATGATTTGGGGGTATAACTTCACAGCTGTTCAGATGTTACCACATCATACCCACCACCAGAGCGCCCACCATTGGGGCTCCTCCCCGCCTACTTTCTCCCTCCCCACTTGTTGCCCTAGTAGCCTAGAATGTGTCACTTTATGGCAGAGCCTTATTGCTAGCCAGCTGGTAGAGAAGAAAGGTCAAGGGCTTGTCTTTCAACGAGTTTCCATTTCTTTTCTATGCACTCATTTTGTATTGAGCATGTGCTACCCTGTGAAAGTTTACAAGATATTTTATAATGCCGTTTAGTTTTTATTTAGCTTTATTTAGCTTCCCAAGTATTTATGACTTGGCTTTTCAGGTGAGAATGAATTTACCTGGTATCTGATTCATGTGAGAATAATCTATAGTTAGTACCTGCTGCAGTATTTAGACCAAATTAGATAAGCAGTACATATTATTGACACGATTGCCTAATATATTTAGGCAAAATGCTGGCTAAGCTGCTGTAGCAGGATCACAGTGTCCCCAACATGATAGAAGTTTACCTTTCTCCCAGAGGCAGCAGGCAGTCCAGGAGGAGTTGGTGGCTCAGTTCTGTCAAGTTCTCCAGGGATTCAGTTTTCAACTTCTTACTTTGCCATTCTCTAGGGTGTTTTTCTCCTCACGGTCAGAGCTTGCTCACTGGTGCCGTATTCACTCTCACCAAAGGAAATGAGAAAAGGGAAAGTGAAGGGAAATCAGGTAGGTCCCTTAGTAAAATGTGATTCAAATAGGCACATATTACCTCTTCATGCAGCTCATTGGCTAAAACATTGTCTCATGTCACCTGGGCTTCCAAGTGATGCTGGGAAATATAGAATCTAAATGGACAGTCTTGTGGTCTGGTTGGAACTCAGGGCTCTATTACTGAAAGAAGGGTGTGGAGTCTTTTGACATTTAAACGTCCACCAGAATGGCTAAAATTAAACAGATTAATATCAAGTCAGTGGGAGTGTTAACTGACAAGATTTTAAGTTGCATTCAGTAGAAAAGCTTTTGGAACTTGAACACAAGACTTCCAAGCAATCGACTGGACAGTGGGTAAGGAAATACTCTACTATGCATCCATCAAGGTTTTTGATTGCCAGCACCATAAACCCTAGCTTAAGCAGAAAGGAAAATACAAGGAACAGACTCTGAAAACAGGTGAAATTAAGGGAGACAAAACAGATACCATTATGCTATCAGATCACTGTCAGATCCTAGGATCCACTATCTAACCTGTCCAACTATCTCAGGCTTCCACTACATCTTTGTATTACTTCCCCAGAGTGAGAAATCTGGATGGATGTGTCTGACCTAGGTAACATCTACATACAATTCCTAGGAGTTTCCAGAGGAAAAGTATGTTTCACTTGGTTTCTAGAATGAGAGCTAGGGTCCTGTCTCAATTATTGTGAATTTTCCTAAAATTAGACTAGTGTTTGAATGACGTTTACAACACAGTATCTGTCAGTCAGATTCCTGCTTATGATTCTCTCAAGCTCCAAGACAGGTGGAAACAACTGATCTCGACTACAGAGAATCAACCACAGAACTAGTATGGAAGTCATCCTGATTCAATCAGCTAGGAGACAGAAGTGGGTCAGGACCTGGGCAGGGAAACCAGTTATACTGGTATGATGGTGACAACTTGAATTACATGAGAAAATATATGAAAGACAGACGGGATGGTAGGTCTTGGTGATTAATCTGGAATGTAGGGATGAAGCGAAAATATATTATTGAGCAAATGAATATAATAAAGATTCCAGCAGAACTTCCAGCCCAGGTGCAATGAACACTCCAACACAGGCTTAATCAATAAGTTTGCTTACTTATAGCTCCTTCCCTTTCAAGATTTATGGCCAGGGCCTCAGCACTCTTATCGACAAGGTGGGACAGCCAGCCAAGCTGGTCTGTCTCTCCAAGGCCATCCCTGAATGCCTGCATCTTTCCCCCCATTGCCTTGCCCCCTTGTCTGGGAACTTTGCCGCAAATGGTTGTGCCTGCTGAAAAACAATGTTATCAATGTAACAGATATGGACACAGTTGTGTATAAAAGGGACTCAGACCTTACGGGGCTACCCAGGTCTGGGACCTCATCCATGAGTAATAAAGCTTCTCCTGACCTCACCATTCCTGAAGTACCTCTTGTTCTTCCTCTGCCTGGGTAAAAATTAGAATTTATTTCTACAACAGGGAGGCCAGGAGAAAGAAGTCAAAGGGGATAGCCCGATTTCTGACTTGAGGAAGCAGGGGTGAGGGACGTATGTGTATGTATAGGGACGTGGAGAATGCAAGATGAAGATGTCCAGGCACACTAGAAATGACAGGTGAAGCTGTCATTCGAAAGGTACAGGTGAAGCTCACATCTATTAGCTGAGGCCGTGGATTTATGGGCAAACTCGGTCCACACAGTAAGGAAAAAACCTCGGAGAGAGGATCTGAGGATTCCGGCCTTTGAGGGGCTGCCTTGGCCCTTCAGGCTGAGCAAGCGCCGCGCACGTGCTCTGGGCTCGCGGCTCACCTGGCCCGGGGGCCGCCGAGCCAGGCCCGCAGGCCCCGCCCCTGTGGGCGGAGCTAGGCGGGCGGTCGCGCAGTCACCCGGAAGCCCAAGGCGGGTAGGCGCGGGTCTGCGGGCGTCGGACCCCAGGGCGCGCCAGGAGGGGTGCCCGCGGGATGGGGCGAGCGGCCTCGGAGCCGCAGGGCAGGAGGGCCGTCCGGACGGCCGGGCCCGTGGCGCTGAGCGCGGCCGTGGCTGTGGCGGCGCTGGTGGGCGCCCTGCTCCTGCTGCGCCGAGAGGACGCGGGGCCGGGGGCCGGCTCTAGGTAACCCCACCGCGTAGGGGGCCGAGCTGGGCCCCCGCACTCCTGTGGGCGCAGGAGGGAGGGGCTGGAACCCGGGATCGGGGGAGAGGGGGATTAAACGTGCCCGCTTGGTGCTGGCAGATTAGGCACTGGGGCGAATCCTCCTTTCCCAGGCCCATCCGAGGTGCAGGTTGACTTTGGGGCGAGGGAAAGCTAAGGCGCCACGCCCTGCAAATGATTCAGCACTTTCCCCAGAGCCCTGACTGGGAATTGTAACAACCTGCAGAGAATAACAATTATCTTCCTCTAGAACAAATAAACAACACTTGTGCCCAGGGTTCAGCACCGGCCACCCTTAAACATCCTAAACACCCTTAAACATCCTTTGTGGATCTTATTTCTGCAGCATGGCCGAGACTGAGGCACTGCCGAAGCTTCGGGAAGACTTCAGGATGCAGAATAAATCTGTCTTTATTCTGGGCGCCAGCGGGGAAACCGGTAGAGTGCTCTTAAAAGAAATCCTGGAACAGAACCTGTTTTCCAAAGTCACACTCATTGGCCGGAGGAAGCTCACCTTCCATGAGGAGGCTTATAAAAATGTGGTGGGTACTTGAGCTGGGACTTAGAAATATACATGCAGTGATTCTGTGGGGTCAAAATATTTCATGCTTAAAGACTGAACTTGGCCCAACCTGTGGTGGAAGCAGCGAGAGGCAATCAGAATATGGCCACGGTTGGCCTATGAGAGCCCTTACTGGATGCTGTGGTTCTGAACTGTGGGCCCAGTTGGGCCCTCCCCTCACTGGGTGGCCTGGTCAAAGCCCTTGTGTATGTCTAGACCCCTTTAAGGCCTAGCCTAGGTTGTAGTACCGGCTGGGGAGACAGAGGAACACTATTTTCTGGTCATTCAAGTAGGGCTTTAGAGATAGTTCAGTGACCCTGGGCAATTTTCACAATCCTTTTGTTTTTTTATCTGTTGTTTTCTATCTGTCCACTCACTGCTAATTCTGTCAGCAGGTCTGAAAATGCGTTGCAGAGTGGGGAAGAGCTATGGCAATGAAAGATGGGGTGGTTAGTTGAAGAATTTGGTCTGCCTGATTTTTTCAGAACTTCAGGCTTATGTCTAAGTGGAATAGTCACTTCACTGTCACTTACACTTCCATGCTTAAGCAGATGATATACTGAACTTCAGTCTGGTGACAATGTCCTAAATATCTAAAGTATACAATATGGGGGTAGGGGAGTTTTGATTTCTTTCTCCACATAAACTCAGTTTTTTGTGAACTGCAGCAAATTAGGGTGTAATTCTGAGATCCCACAACTAATAGAACTCAGCTCCACAGTTTTACAGATGGGACTTTCAGATGACAAATGGTCTCACAAGTAACTGTTTTTGGTTCCTTTAGGTCCATGTTCAGGTCATTGTGCATATGTTTTTGGTCTATCAGAACTTTCCTGTTTAAAGTGGCCGTCTTTGTTTAGACATAGGTAGATAATAAGTGGTCTTTGTAGTCTGACTTCATGAGATGTATTAGAGTCTCCTGGTACTTAGAAATTGTACTTGAGTTCTGTGCTTTAATAATCAAATTGGGTGGCACATCTTTTGGTCAGGCGCTTTATAAAAACATGTTAATCTTCAGTATTGTGTACAATATGAAGATAATTCTCCTGAAAAATGTTCTGGCTGGTAGGATAAGAAGCAACATTTTATCTGAACTCCTGGATGATGGGAATGTCTCAAACTTTCTTTAAGTTTCGCAATACATTTAGGAGTTAAATGGTGGTTCTTAATTTTAGTGGCATAAGAATCACCCAAAGGTATTGCTAAAAATGTAGTTTTTGATTCAGAAGTTTTGGGGTGAGACCCAACAAGATGCCTTTTTATCTAGTACCTCCTGGCTGGATCTAATGCAGGTAGTTCATGGATTAGATGCAAGGAAAGTCGATCATTCACATTTTACTGCTAATAAAAACTGAAACATCTGATAAATAATGTGTTAGGTAGGAGGCCCAAGATCTGGACATAGGTCTTTGAGATCCCAAACGCCACTCCCTGTCCCTACATTATATCTCATTGACATCCCTCCATGAGATACAGGCAGGTCTTAAGAGAGAAAATTATAATTGAACCTGACTTTAGAATCTGAATCTCTCTAGTCCAGGTTTGTGTGTTATGGACTCATAAGGGCATTATTGATTTTTGAATTCAGATTAATTGCTTCTTGGTAGGAGAAAATGAGTTTGCAGAATTTGATGTGAAGTGGGCAGACTCTTAAGTAATATTCTGTAGTTCTTTAGATTTTGAGAGGTATTTGTTTTAATTGCTTGTTTTAATAACATAGTTATATGTAACTGTGTCCTTGTCTAGAATCAAGAAGTGGTGGACTTTGACAAACTGGATGACTACGCGTCTGCCTTTCAAGGTCATGATGTTGGATTCTGTTGCCTGGGTACCACCAGAAAAAAAGCTGGGGCGGTAAGGAAGAAATGTACCCCTGTCCCTTTTCTCTGGTCAGTAATGTCAAAGATTCCTTTCTTGCTCGCAATTTTTCTTTACATTTCCTGTGCTTAATTGCGCTGTGTGATAATAAGGATAAGTTATCATTTTTGATTCCATATGCTGCTCTAACTTTTGCTGTACTTTAAAAAGGATTGATAAGTTCATCTTACCTTCAAAGTAATCCTTGAGTTCAGACCTGCATGCTGGAGACATCATAAATATTTACAAGGTCTTGTTTCCTACAAATATTGCTGTCACTGCATCCCTTAACTAAGACAAACCATTGTGTCTGGGTAAAAGTAACTGGCGCTCATGCTGTTAGCAGTTAAGCTTTTTTTTCCCCCTCTTTATAAATGTTTTAAACTTGAATTGTTCTCTCCACTTGTGTGATTTGCTTCAACCTATTTTCATGCCAAGCTTTAAACTTCAGGGATAGAACATCAGAACAGAGGCACGATTCAGCTAGCCCCCAGAGATGACTCAGCCTCCAGCTATGATTCAGCCTCAGTGGTGATTCAGCCTTAACTGACGCAGAACTGTTCTAATACACATTTTATTTTCTTTTTAATGATGTTCTAAATTGCATTGACCCCTGTCCAAAAGTCATGGTTTACTACATAGTTAGAAGTCATAGCTTACTATGTAGATCCTGAACAAGTGTTAATACATCTCATTTGATTTATACTGTGACTGTATTTTATCCCTCTGGCAGAATTTACTTGCTGGAGCTAAACATGTCCATTAAATATTCAGGACCACAGTGCTACCATGGGGGCTTACCACAGCTTTATAAACTGGCCCACCTGTCAGAATCATTAGGGGAACTATTGGTTTAGGCCAACTGAGGAGTTATGCCCAGGTGTGTTTCCCTGGGCCTCTTTGTGATCCAGAGAATAATTCTGTTTATGTTTTCAATAGGATGTATTTCCAAATCTTCTGCAGTTCTTGGTAACACAGCTGGGTTTTGAGCCCTGTGCTAGAAAGTATGGATTGTGGAGAAGTTCGACTCTCCATGAAATTGGCATATTATCTCATCTAGAAAGGGTTATGTTTCTGTTCAGCACCTAGTGCTGTCTCTTCTGAGATAGGGACAGTCACAAACAATGTGCCCTCTAAAAGCATTGAAAACTTTTGTTCTAGTACATTGCAGGTTGCACTCTCAAGGGCCAACCTGATTTTGGTGGTGACTCAGCAAAATATAAAGCACTGCATTAGGCTTAGAGCAGTTGGTTTTTATGACATAAGGCAAATCTTATTATAAAGACACTTCAGAGACTGTTTTGTTGCAATCGAGTTGTGCAATGCAATTTTAATCAGAGTAGTGGGTGTCTTCACTACCCAGAATATTTTTTTAGATGATTTGGTCTGTACCCTTCAGGCTACTCAGTACCTTTTGTTCTCTGAAATTAATTTGAAAAATGAAAGTAATTAATGAGGGAACAAGAGATAAGGCTAGTAAGCCAAATATAGTCCTAGAAATGAGTTAGGGTTGAAGAGGGTAAGTGCCAGGGAGTAAACTGACATTTCCTCCAGAAAGTTTTCTTTTGTTTTAATTGGAAACTAATTTAGAGTGAATACAATGTAAATTTTGGAGGTTGTGATAACTTGGGGCAATTTAAAAGAGGTGATAATTCACAAATGGCTAGGTAACAGTAGGTTTGTCTGATGGGGGCGGCAGGCTATGGATTTCCAAGCTCACCCCACCTGGTATTCTGGATCAGCAGCCCTCTCTGTAGAGAAGGTTTTCCAGGTATTTCTTCATATGTACACTGCAAAATCTGGTGTCATTCTGTTGCTGTTTTGTAACTGGTATCATCTATGGCTTACTTTGCAACCTGAGTTACTAGTGGAGAAAATTCAAGAAATTCTATTTCTGTCTCAGTGTTGAAATCTTCTCAGTAGCCAGGATCTTCAGTGTGTTACTTGTCTAAGGCTATCATAACGTGGTACCATAATTGTTAGTGCACAGATTGAGGGGCACCCTGGGACCCCCAAACTTGCATGCTGTTAAAGGTGTCTCACCATCCATGTGCACAAATACAAAGCAACTCTTAGCGCAAAAGAACTTTAATGGGATTAGTATGCATAGAGAGAGAAGAAGAACGAATAATTGTTTTCCAATAAAACGTCCAAAGTTATCCATCCCCTTGTGGGTAAATACCCAGCCAAACAGGCTTGGCCCAAAGCGAGACCACTAAGACCCCAAAACTTGCCACAAATCTAAGGTATCTTCTGGCGGGGAACTATAGGAAAGTGACAAGTCTGGGACAAAAGGAGCAAAATCAAACTACAGATCAAGGTAACAGCTGCCATTGTCAGCCTCGCCATATGTCTCTCACCCATGTCTCTTTCAAGTGTCTCTACTGTCTCTCCTCCACGTCCCCCTCCAAGTTCCTGGTCCAAGTCTAAAGGCAAGAAGCAAGTGGGTCTTTCTCCCCATGTCTCTGTTCCTGTGTCTCCATGTCACAGGTGTCTCTCGAGCCCACCTTTTCCGTGTTACCTAAATCCACTTGACCACTTAGCTCTGCCCCACATTAAAGGGCAGGAAACATGGTAACAGCCCTTTTGAGACTTAAACAAGGGAAACTATTGCCTCACAGTTCTGGAGTGTGACGTCAAGACTTCTGCAGGATGAGTTCCTCCTTTGAGCTTTGAGGGGAGGATCTTCCCCAGGTTTCTCTCCTTGACTTGTATATGGCTGCCTTCTCTGTCTTGCATTTTTCCTGTATGCATGCGGCCTAGTCCAAGTTTCCCCTTTCTATAAGGACATTAGTCATAGTGGGTTAAGAACCACCTTGCCATAACGAATGACATCTACAAGGATCCTATTTCTAAATTAGGTCACAGAGATATTGGAGGTTACAACTTCAACATGAGCTTGGGGGAGACAATGCAACCCATAAAATTCAGCCTACCCAGATTTCTTTTGAAACTGGTACTAAGGATGGGTCTATTAGCTCTCTTCAAGTGTTAGGAAAATCATTTCCTTTAACACTAACTGGTTAAATGCTAATCTGCCTTCTCGCATTCACCACCGTAGCTGTCTACTCAATGCAGTGGCTTCCTGAATCAGAATGTCGGAGACTGGAAACTTGAACTCTGTATTTCTAGCTGACTCTTCTAGGTAGATGTTGACGTAGCTGATTCTCAACTCTTGTTAGACTTGCTTTACGGGGGGCATTGGATGTTGTGGTCCTCCTCACCTGGTTCTTCAGGTACCATAGTCACAGATGGCCATCATGGTGCTTTAGTGAACAACGTGTGTGCTGGTGAAGGCTGAATATTCTTTGACAACCAGATCTACATTGGCTTTGAGTGAAAGAGGAGTAGCTCACAGATGCCATGTGCTTTCACCTTATTTGTGTTAAGGGTTTTGGTTAGTGTGTTTGAGGTAGTTTGTTACGGTAGTTTGTTACAGTTTCACTGCCTCATTTATCTCCTCACCTATGGGCTCAGGGTGCAGTACTCCAGCTTCTTGGATTCTGTTGAAGAGATAATGTTGTGAATGTGATTAATACAGCCAATCCCAACAATTATTCGGCATCATTTGTGTCTCATGGCTTCTCATTCTCATGATACACTCTTCTAATGCAGGGGCTTGCAAAGTATAGACGATGGACCAAATGCAGCCTGCCTTTTTTGTATAGCTTGTGAGCTAAATATGTATGTGTGTGTGTGTGTGTGTGTGTATAATATATATATATGTATTTGTATAGAATATATATATATTTATTGCATCTTTGTTAATTTTTGGATAGCATTCAATTTCTCCCCTCCTGTGTAGTCCCTGTAGTTCTCCCACAACCATAGCACCTGGGATCTAGCATCACAGTCCCTTGTGCTCTTCCCTCCCCTGTCTTGATCCCTCTGCCCATATCCCTGACTAGAATATTTTTATATTTTTAAAAGGTTAAACATTTAAAAAAAAATAGATCATAAGTTGTGAAAATACAGGAAATTCTGGGCCTCCCTGGTGGTGCAAGGGGTTAAGCACAGCACTGTGAAGCAATCCGTAGCCTCTGCAGCACAAGTTCGATCCTGGCCAGCCAGGGAGCAACCCACATGGCACAGCTGACCTCTCCTGACTCACCTGCTGCTCCCCTCAGCAGTGTATTTCAGTCAGTCTGCCTTTCTGTTCCCTGCTCTGTCTCTGGTGAATCCTCTCACCCCCCTGCATCTCTGGCCTGTACCCCAGCTCTTGTATGCATAAATAAATAAATCTTTAAAAAAAAAAAAAGGAAAAAACAGGAAATTCTTATTTCAGCTCCCATCAATAAAATATCATGGGGGCGCGGCTGTTCTCGTTACTGAGTATGTTCTCGATGACTGCTGTTGTCCTGGGGTGGTAGGGCTGTGCTGCTGCTACAGAGGCCTGCAAAGCTGAAAATATTTATTATCTCCTCCTTTTCAGGAAAAGTTTGTCAGCCTCTCCTGTGTTATAATCTCTGCTGTTTTGTTTGATGTTTAGGAGGGTACTTTTGCAGTGCTGAGGTCCTAATGGTTCAAGAGTCTCAGATCATAGGCCTTTTATGGACACAGTGAAATAGCCGTGGGACCTGGGCTATGCCAGTTAGCTCCTCTGGGCCACTGCCTCCTTGTCTGTATAGAGAGGGAGGTGACAAATGCAGACCCTTTTACCTGCAGAAGTCCTAGACTCTCATACCACAAAGAATACCCTAAATGAAAAATATGTAAGAATATAGAATTTGATTCAGGAATACTCAGTAGCTGTTTGATTGTATTTTTCCATCCAGTGGTCTTTCTCTAAGTAAGGTCTTGGTCTCAATACGATACAGCACATAAAAAGTGCCTTCTGGGACACACACAAATGGGGTCTCAGATTTGACCAGTTGTTATTTGCCAGCATCTCTGTTTTCTGGTCTAATTTATAGGATTGAAAAATGGAGTGAAGGAAAAAGTATCTGAAGCAAAAATATGGCTAACTAGGGCCTTTCACAGAATGATAGATCCTCCCTTCTTGAAAGAGCCCCCTGATTTTGAGTCATTGCAGCATGCCTGCTTCTTTTGTCAGTGCTGAAATACCTTGTTAAAATAAGTTTTTCCTAAGTCAGAGTTTTCCTGGTTTTCAGGTATTGGTAAAGAAGATTAGAAAAAATGCTTAGCAGCTTTAGTTTGGAAAGGACTTAAATTGAGAGCAAGTAGAGGATTTGTCTCCCTTGATCTTTGAGGAGACTGTGAAGATCTCTGCTGAATTATATTATGTGGTAGGTGCCAGGAAAGGAGCTGTATAGTGAAAACCTTTTTCATCAATTCACTTTTCTAGAAGGAACTCTGATTCCTAGCTTAGAGCAGGGCAAACTGACTGTGGCTTCATAAAGATATAATAATATAATAGACCTACTGTTCTCAGGGGAAAAAAAAGTCTTTTCCCCTGCTGTGTGATGTGGTTAGGGAAATTAATTTTTTTTTTCTGAAAATTGTGTTTCTGGGAGTGTGTATTTCTATTGAGTACCTTTTTTAGTTTATTTGCTTTTATTAACATTTTTATTGAGTAACATTGGTTTCCCACTTTATATAAGTTTCAGGTACAGTGTCTTATAATTCAACATCTGTTTTCATAATGTTTTTTATTTGAGCTCTTAGGGGACAGGAATGAAAGTTGTTAATGAGATTTTAGGATCGTTCCCCTCTACCTATAAATGGAATCTTCCTTACTCCAAAGAAAATTGGTGTGTGTTGATTTCTCCGAGTCAGTCACCAGGATCCACATTCACATTTGATTTCTAAGTCCTTGAAAGCTGTTGAACCCTTTGCTTTTGAGTTTGATTCACCAGCTAAGAGGCCACGCATTCGAGTGGGGGAAGTGAAATTCAAAATTTAGTGGGCTTGGAAAAATACGTATTTATAATCAGCTTGAGGGCTCAGAGGATTTGTGAAATCGTTTTGGATTAACAGCCATTGATTGCTAATAAAACAATATTTAGCTTTGTCCAGAGAACAGCGATGGAGAAAGGTATGGGCACCTTGTCAACGGCTTCCATTGAGCAGAGATGATGGCCTAAGTGTGGGGGTCTCTGCAACAGCGTGGGTGCTCGTCCTTCAAGGAGAGGTTGTCAGTTGTTGGCGAGGCGGGTGAAAGGAAGGACGCCAGCGTCTGATGGCTGGGGTGGTATTGATGTGCCTTCGCTGACTAATCAGATTGAAAAAGTCCCATGGTATTTATGTCACTTTAATTTTCATCAAACAATTGGAGATGACAGCACTCTATTAAGGGGAGGTTGATCCAGAACTAAAGCCAAATAAATTAGGGTCTCAGTTTAATCAAATTATGCCTTTACTGGCCCTGGATTAAGTAAGAGAGACAGCGTCGGTCTAGAGACTTGTGATTGGCTGAATCTTTCTCTTATTATCAGGGAAGGTGATGAAAGAAAAAGCATTTTAACAGAGACGACAACGATAATCCTAACAAGAAATAGTGGTAAAACATCAGCAACCGCCAAAAGGCATTTATTTCACTAGTCAACTAGTGAATAACAAACCTGTTATTAAAAATCAAAGTTCTGGTGAATTCGAGTGAGGGGAAGAAACAGATGCGGAAGGAACATTGAGGGTTTGGGAATTTTTCTCTGTCATTCTAGGTTGTTTTTCTTGGCAGTCTTTCAGCACATCTAAAAATCTCAATTCAAAGAGAGGATCTGAGGAGAATCGTGCTCTCTCTCTCTCTGGATGTGCTGAGTATTAAAATTGCTTTGCTTCACAGTGATTTTGAAAGGCAACAATAGGCATTTGAGTCAGTGTGTAGGACAAGTTGATGGGTCAGTTGTTAGGACTGAATGTCAGAGTGTACATTATAAGAGGAGATGGTGCTGATTCAGGGGTAAGGAGTTAAATGGATGTTACCTAAAGTGAGGCAGAAAAATAACACTGCCCTGCAGGTAGAGGGCATAGTTAAAAAAGTACTGTGAGTAAGGAGAAAGGAGCATGGAGGCTTTTGAGGTCATGGTAAAGTTCTATTTCTTGATTTGGGAGCTGGTTGCTGAGGACATTTAGTTTATGAAAATGTATTGGCTCTATTCTTATAGTCCCTTTCTTTTACAATCTACCTCAAGACATAGTTTAAAAACTGTGTAGAGGGCCTCCCCGGTGGCGCAGCGGTTGAGCGCTGGGTTGCGAAGCTGCCCGCGGCCTCCGCGGCGCCGGTTCGATCCCCGGCTGCTCCCCGGCCACCGGAGGAGGGTCCCACATGGCGGGCAGACCTCTCCTGCCGCCCGCTGCTCCCCTCAGCAGTGTACTTCGGTCCTTCTGCCTGCTCTGCTCCCCGCTCTGGCTCTGGTGAATTCTCTCGCCCTCCCGCGCTTCTGACTGTACCCAGTGCATGTATAAACAATGTATAAACAAAACGAACGAACAAACAAACAAATAAAAACATGCCTCTAAAAAATAAAAAAAAAAAAAAATTAAAAAAAAAAAAATAAAAACTGTGTAGAAGCTAAATTCTTGTTTTTGTTCCTACTGTTCTTGTAACATATTGCTTCAAATGTAATGGCTTAAAAATGGCACACATTCATTATCTCACAGTTCTACCTGCCAGAAGTCCAACATGGATTTTGCTGACAAAATCAATGTGTTGACAGGGCTGAGTTCCCTTGTGGAAAATCCAGGGAAAATCCATTTCTTTACCTTTCCCAGAATCTAGCAGTTTCCGTGTCCTTGATTCATGTTTCCTTCCTTCTCACCATCTTTAAAGACATCTCCATGTAAAATGAAATCTATAGCATTGATAAGTGCCTTTGGGAAAATTTTTAATTAAAAAAAATCCCTTGGGCAGTAATCTAGTCTTCACACTTGGAATAAAATCTATAAAACTTTTAAAACTGTGAAATTGCTTTAAAAATTGTGGGTACCTGTGAAGTTCAACTTTGTAGACTCTAGATATATGTTCTGCCATCTCAAGTTTGAGGATGCCAGCCACGGTCCATGGTGGTTTCAAGAAACAATTACTACATGGAATTCTTTTTCGTGGGTTGAGACATGTGTCCTTTGGAAAAGGGTCTAAACCACATTTCCCCCTCTCCTTTTATTACTATGTTGTTATTTTATGTTTTTTTTTTCCAGCAGTTTTTTTTTTAAAAAGATTTATTTATTTATTTATTTATACAAGCATGGGTACAGTCAGAAGCACAGGAGGGTGAGAGGATTCACCAGAGCCAGAGCGGGGAGCAGAATAGGCAGACTGGTGAAGTACACTGCTGAGGGGAGCAGCAGGCACGGCAGGAGAGGTCTGCACGCCAGATCCCTCGCCTGCACGTGGGGATCGAACAGGCGCTGCAGAGGCTGCAGGCAGCTTCGCAGCCCAGCGCTCAACCACTGCGCCACCGAGGAGGCCCTGTTGTTATTTTATTTTTATGTGTGAATTTGCCATTTCTCTGCTTTCAGAGTCTACTACTTCAATAGTCTGCTGTTTATTCATTCAGGTATTTTTGGAGTACCTACAATGTCCTAAGCATTTACTGATGCTGAGATGTGAATTCACTATACTGGGTCTAGACCTTGGGTCTTCAAACATTTTTGATTATAGATCCATCAATAAAAAAATTTGAGGATGCACTTGTTCTGATATATAAAGTATGTTGTGAAACAAACAAAAATTGGAAAATAAGTAGGCTTTGTTCTCATAGTACATGGGTAGTGTTCTCACCATGCTTTGAAACTTTACCACATTAGAGTTGACACAACAAAACAGAGACCGCTATAAAGTATTGAGACTACATGTTTTTTTGTGAGACTGAAAGTAGTTCCCTAGCCTGATGTTACTGCCCTTTTTGCTCCTTGAAGATTTCTTCTGGCGTGTGTGTTTCAGTGCCATTATCCTTGTGTTGTCATTTCAGTCTAGCCTTGATGCCAGAGCATCTATCTAGCCTTGATGCCAAAGCCACAGCATCTATCTTGAGGATTGTACTTGGAGCCTTTCCCAGGGGTCTGGCATTCATGTATTACTTGGATGCATTTTATTTAGATCCCTATCTGCCCCAGACTGCCTAGCCTGCCACCAACCTGAGAAGTAATCTTTAAGATGAACTCACAGCTTTTTCGAAATAACTCATATCCTTTCCCCCTCAGGAAGGGTTTGTTCGTGTTGATCGTGATTATGTCCTGAAGTCTGCAGAGCTGGCAAAAGTTGGAGGGTGCAAACATTTCAACTTGCTGAGTTCTAAAGGAGCTGATAAATCGAGCAACTTTTTATATCTGCAAGTTAAGGTTTGTACATGTTTCTATTCTTCATTTATTTTTAGAGAACCTTGGCTAGTTGGTAATACTAAATGATAAAGCCATGCATGAAATGCATTATATTATTTTTTAAATAGCTACAGGACTGTTTTTTTCCCCCAGAGATGTATTTGTAAACATGAGTGATTAAAAGAGAATTTCAGACCTATTCCCCTATAGATTGTGCTTTAATCATGAAATGAAATGTGGCAGCTCTGGTCTTTATTATCAGCATGGACCCTTACCACTGGAAGATACTTCCAGGCAGTGTTCTGAAATTTATCTTGAAGTTTCCCTAAAGACTGAGGAAAAGGGCTTTTATTTTTCTGGAGACTTGGGATATTTAGCCTGAATAAATCTACTTGTTACAACTGAGCTTTCCCAAAAGTTTTTAAAACTCCATACACATTTTGGTATACTCAGGTTTACTTAAAAAATTTTGAAGGCCATTTAAAAGGCAAAGTTTATTCACTTGGGAATCATAGAATTGCCATTCCAACAGTGGTCTGGGGGTTCTTACAGAGAGAAAAATTCATGAGGTTATGATCAGGCGAAGGAGTCATAGTGATCAAATGTAGGGAATCACAGGTAAAATAGTCAGGTAGAGGGACCACAGGGTAAATTGATCAGTTGGAGCGATCACAAAGTAAAAGTAGGTAGAAGTTCTCTTTGTCAGTCCCTCCAAACGGGATATTTTTACTCTTGTTGGCTTCTTGGAATACTGGTGGCTTGATCTGGTCCAATGGTCAGATCCATTTTAAAGAGGATAGTAATGCTGCTTTTTCACTGGTGGCTTTTTCTGGCCCTGTTTTATTATGGCTCCAGTTTTGTAACTTTTGACATTCAGGAATATGCATAGCCTTTTCCCTTTCCTTACCTTCAAGTTAGATTAATGCTGCAGGAACAGAAGGCACGCATTCTTACGGTTCTCTGTACCGCCTCTACACCCCAAGGGCCCACAGTTTATGAAGCATGACCTTCAAGGTCATTCTATCAAAACCCTATGGATTTCCTCCTCTTTAAAAATAAGGCATTATTGGGAGCTTCCCTGGTGGCACAGGGGTTAAAGTTTCAATGCTATCAAGCTATCGCCAGCCACTGTAGCATGAGTTCGATCCCTGGCCAGGGAGCTAACCCACATGGCACAGAAGACCTCTCCTGTCTCACCCGATGCTCCCCTCAGCAGTGTGTTTCAGTTGATCTGCCTATTCCGTTCCCCACTCTGTCTCTGGTGAATCTTCTCACCACACCCCCAACCTCTGACCTACAACCCAGTTCTGTATACATAAATAAAAATAAATATTTTTAAAAAATTGTAAAAATCAAAATAAGGCATTAATACCTATTCATTGAGTTATAATAATGATTCGATCAGAAAAAAAAAATATAATACCTACCACTCACTGAGCCAAGCACTGTACTGAAGGTTTTATGTGTATTTGTGTGGAAACTGAACTATAGTGATGCTAAGATTGCCAGTTGGTAAGTGGCAGAGCTGAGATTCTAACCCAGGAATTTGACACCAGAACTTGTGCTGCTCACCATTCTGTAATGACTAGCCTTGGTTGCTCATACATGTGGAAGGACCTAGTAGCACATCACCTGGGCCATAGCACCTCCAAATATAAATAAATACCAATAAAATGGAGAGAGACCTCTATGGTCACTGAAATTGATGTGTATTACCTGCAGCATGGAATTATAAATTAAAAAGCAGAAACAACCACCAAAGAATTCATTCCAGAATGATGCTGAACAATATAGTTACTTAAGATGATTTTCCCTAAATAATCCTGAAACTACTGTGTGAAACATTCTTTGTTTATATTGCTTATGTTCCCAGGGGCTGGGTGCTGTGGGGAGAGGTGTGGTATAGAGCCCAAACACCAGATTAGCCTCAAGTTTTCCATTCACAGTGTCTGTGAGCTTCAACTTGTGCATGTGTTAAATGGGGGAAGAAAGTCAAAATAGATGACATTTTATAATGGGGATGGTCCTTGCCCTCAAGGAATTTATAATTTGTTTGGGGGATCCCCACAGCTCCAAGTTTAGTAATATGCTAGAAGATCACATAGGATTCAGTGCATAGTCATACTCACAGCTGTGATTTATGCCAATGAAAGGATATAAAGGAAAATCGTCCAGCGGGAATCATGCATGGGGCGGGGGGAGTCTAGCAGAAACGAGGTATAAGCTTGCAGGAGTCCATGTAGATTTGCTAAGGGATGTGCTTAATTTCTCTAGCAATGAACATTGTCTATCAGAAAAATTGGCCTTTTATGTCCAGAGCTTTTATGGGGGTCAGTCACATATGCACCCTCAGGCTAGAAAAAATTGCAAACGTCCAGAAGGAAACCAAGTGTTCAGTGTAAAGCACATTGTTTATATAAATAGTTCATGCACTGTAAACTACTCTAATCACTTAGGTAATGGCAGAAACACTACTGAAATCCAAGTTCCTAGAATTAAAAAAAGGCCAGCGTTGCCAATTTCCAAGGCTAGCAGTCTCAGCCTCCATTAGCATACACACTTCTAATGGAGACAGAACATATCTTTATAAAAAAGCTAATGAAGAAACACGTCCACATGAAAACTTGTGTATGAATGTTCATAGCATTATCCACAATAGCCAAAGAGTGGAAACAACCCAAATATCTATCATCTGATAAGTGGATGAATAAAACATGGCATAGCCATACACTGGAATAGTATTCAGCTATAAAAAGGAATGATGCATGCCAAAACAGGGGTGTACCTTAGAAACACTATGTTGAATGAGAGGGGCCATACACAAAAGAACTGGAATACACAAAAGTATTCTAAACTTAGATCGTAGTGGAAGTTGTGCAATTCTGTGAATACTATACAAAACATTAATTTAAAAAGCTACCTAAGATTATGTGATGCCACAGGCTAAGTGCCAAATGAGTGGTAGGAACTCACAAGGCCTCTGTCTAGACCTATGGTCGAGCTCTGGCACTTCTGTTTATAGAGATGCCTGGCATGAAAATTCAGGTTTTGTTTAACAAATTAAAATTAAAGCCTCATCTGGAAGCTAAATGTTTTCCCACAGTCTCTTGAAATTTGGCAGGGTTACTCAGGAAATGAATAATATTGAGGGTCTATGAGTCCTCTAAACCACCGGAACTACTATATTTGAAGAGAAGCCCTGAAACAAACAAACAAAAAAAAGGTTAATATTTTTTGACCTGTAGCATTAATTCTGGACTAACAGTACATATTTTCTTTTATGGTTAAACTAGTAATATGTCATTTATCATCTTAGATCTGTCTTAATCTCACTCAGTTAAGAGGCTGGACTAATTCTGAAGCCATTCAATACATCTTTTCTAACTTTACTACAAGCTTGAAAGATCCCTTTTTTAACTTCCAAGACTCTGGGATCTAAAATTCTAGATAAGGATATTGGCAAGTTTTAAGGCCTACAGAAGCAGATAATTTTAAAAACCCCAACTTATTTTAAGCATCACAATAAGTTGGTTTTGATCAAATGATGAAAATGTGTTTTTTGTTAACAGGGAGAAGTGGAAGCCAGGGTTGAAGAATTAAAATTTGATCGTTACTCAATATTTAGGCCTGGGTAAGTATTCATGCTGTGTAAGAGACTCTCCTGCTGGTTATTCCCTCGAAGCTAGGTTTTGTTTTTTTTTTTTTTTAATTTGAAAAAGCTGATAGGATAGCTGAGATACTGAGATATAAAAGAAGTTGGTAGAGGTAGATTGCTTGCTTCTCTGAAGACCCACCTTTTAACTTTGAAGGATGGGATAGATAGCTGGTGGTACTATGTTCAGAATAGTCCAGAAATTCCTGGTAGCTTTTGCTACCTTCTTTTTTAAAAATCTTCTTAATGCACCAAGTAAAACCTTTTATTCACTATATTAGTCTGTTTGGATTTCTACCCAGAGTAATACTAATACAGACTGGGTGACTTTGAAACAAACAAACAAAAAAAGAAATTAATTTTCTCACAATTCTGTTGCCTTGAAGTCTGAGATGAAGACATAGTCAGGGTTGGTGTCTGGTGAGGCATCTCTTCCTGGTTTGTAGATGGCCACTTTCTCTCTCTCTCTCTCTCTCTCTGTGTGTGTGTGTGTGTGTGTGACAGAGAGAGAGAGAGAGAGAGAGAGAGAGAGAGAGAGAGATCTCTCTTCTGTAAGGACAACAATTTTATTAGGTTAGGGTCCTACCCTGATAACCTAAATTAACCTTAATTACATCCCTAAAGGCCCTATCTTCAAATACAGTTCATACTGGAGGTTAGGATTTCAGCAGGAATTTTGGAGAGACCACTTTAGTCCATAATACCCTCTATGGCCTAAATGCAATTTACATCTCTACTTCTGCCCTTTCTTTCTCTCTTTAGAGTTCTGTTATGTGATAGGCAAGAATCCCGCCCAGGTGAATGGTTGGTTAGGAAATTCTTTGGCTCCTTACCAGAATCTTGGGCCAGTGGACATGCTATACCTGTGGTGACCTTGGTTAGAGCGATGCTGAACAATGCATTAAGACCAAGCGACGACAAGAAGGAACTGCTGGAGAATAAAGCCATCCTTGACCTGGGGAAAGCCAGTGGCTCTCTCACGCCTTGACCACATTGAGGAATACTTTATTGTAACACCTTAAAAGTCACCACCAAATGAGTAATACCAGGCTCTAAAAAACGTCAGCATGCTTCCACTTCGTGGTTTTACTATTCTCAGCAATCCAGATCCAATCAAAAACTGATTATGCTATGCATCCGTGACTCAGAACTTGGCTGTATATATACATACATCACCCAGGAGGCTTTTCAGAAGTAGTGATTCATAGGGCCTACCTCAAACCTTCTGAATCATAATCTTTGAGGGGCAGGCACCAGAGATCTATTATTTTGTTTTGTTTGAGCTTCCCCTGGTGGTTCTGAGGCTCCTGGCAGGAAGGCTAGATTTCAAAAGCTTGTCTGCGGAGACACAGCAGCAGCGTGAACCTTGTGTACTGTGCAGATGAGCTCTGTTCTAAAATTGTTTACATTCATGTCTGAGTTACCCAGTGCTGACTGCTTCTATTTGTGTAAGTGAACACTGTGCCTTAACACTTCTTTAGAGTATATAATAAAAGTTGTTATAACTAAGCCTATAAACTTCATGGGAGAATTAAATAGAAAAGTAAAAACAAATAGCTAAGTCTTGGATGTCTCTTAAATTTTAGAAAATGCCCAAGCATCAGTGGAAATATGTAGTATTTTGGTCAAGGGGATGGTACTATTGCAGCTATCATTTACCCAGTGTGTGCCAAGTGCCAACCGTTATACATGCGGTTCTCTGTCTTAACCCTCCAAACAACCCTTATGAGGTAGAACTATCATCCCCATGCTTTAGAGGGGGAAACTGAGACTCAATGTGGTTAAGTGCCTTGCTTGAGAGTTCAAAGTTGAAGATCTGAAACTAGGAAATGGCAGGGCAAGATTCTAACACAGATCAGCTTGTAGTTTTGACCACTCTGCAAAAGTAGCCAGTCTCTGCATGCTTTTAGGAAGCTCCAAGCAATTGTTATTGAGTCAGTGTATGATATAAATGAATAAAATGAAAATATTTGGGTTTCTCCATGGTCTAGGATCCCTATGATTAACCACCAAATGTTCATATAGCCAGTAAAAGTGCACCTGAGGGCCTCCCCGGTGGCGCAGCGGTTGAGCGCTGGGTTGCGAGGCTGCCCGCGGCCTCTGTGGCGCCGGTTCGATCCCCGGCTGCTCCCCGTCCGCCGGCGAGGGTCCCGCATGGTGCGCAGACCTCTCCTGCCGCCCGCTGCTCCCCTCAGCAGTGTACCTCGGTCCTTCTGCCTGCTCTGCTCCCCGCTCTGGCTCTGGTGAGTTCTCTCACCCTCCCGCGCTTCTGGCTGTGCCCAGTGCATGTATAGACAAAAAACAAACAAACAAACCAGCAAAACAAATAAATAAAGCATGCCTCTATAAAAAAAAAAAAAATAAAAAAATAAAAGTGCACCTGAGGTGCCACATTTCAAAAACTATGGAAAAGTGAAAGGAAGATATGGTAGAAAGGGTCAAAACCAAGATGAGCACACTACGTTTGTTTCCATCCTGGAACAAAGGATGGTGGTGAAACTGGTCTTAACGTCTGTGCTCAGGAAAGTGATTTGAGTGATTCTCTTCACTATTAGAGTCCATTTTACAGCATGCCAAATAGACTGCAAGTTTCAGTGGGCCCCAGAAGATAATGGTTATTCCCCTTAATAGAGGTTATGTATCCTTAAAAGGGCATGGACATTCACAGTCTCAGTCTTGGAATGTGGACTCTAGGAAGGAGATGGAACTCGTTCTCCAGATTGGGGGAAGTACACTCAGAAGAGTTTAGCAATATTACAAGGCCTCATTTTCATTCCACAAATTTATTGAGTACCTAGGCCAAGTGTTAGGTGCCACAGAAATGAAAAGAAAAAGACCCTTATGGTGCAGTGTTGTGGGTTGAGACCAAAAAGCAAAACAAAACAAAACAAAAAACAAATGGTAGGCGCTAAGACAGAAATTAACTGGAGACTGCCGGAATAACAGAACCTACTTTAGAAATGGTGGTGGGAGGAAAGCCTTTCTGGCTGAGACAACAAGGACCTACCCGTGTATAGTATATTATTAGTAAAGACCTGGAGATGGGAAACTTAGCACCAAGGAAAAGGCCAGAGGGTGGGGGCCAGGTTGGAGGGTTGAGTTGGGGTGGAAGATTAGGCAGCACTAAGATGCAGAGCTTAATAAACTCTCTTAGTCAATTCAATTGGATAAACATGTGCTTAGGGCCTGCTAACCTCTGGGACTAGAGCTTGAGACACCACCTACTGAAATTACTATTGCCCGACTAGTCCCACCTACCCAAGAATGCTATGGTTTGAATAAATACTGGAAAGGGAATGTTTGTCACTCCCCACACAGCAATCATACTGCTACTTTGTAAATCCGGCAACATCACTCCCTTGCTTAACCACAGTTCCACTGCTTTTCATTGTTTATCAAGTCTGTGGGGTAAGTGCATTGGTCAGGCTTTTTACACCATTGACCTCTGTGGCTATCACCTGCGGCCTTGATCTCCTTAAGAAAAAAGGCGCGTGGATGTGGGGCACGTGTGCCTGACTGTGGACACCCGAGCATGGGTGTGTGTAAGTGTGCACACCTGAGCCTAGAGGTTAGGGATCTAAGGGCGGCATCACTCAGACTGCTGGGCTGCAAGAGGTCGAGCGACAGCTATGAGGAGGAGACCACAAGAGAACGCCAGAGAAAAGTCCAGAGAAAAGAGGTATAGAGATTCTCAGGGGGGCACGCTGCTGTCTCCTTGCCGGCTTATTTCCCTGCGAACTATTTAAAAACCCGTGGGGATGATGCACAGGGCTCCAAGTTTCTCTTTTAAGCTGACCAAAAGAACGGTGAACCTACCTCTATTAATTTATTTTACTCATACTATACTAGCCCTGCGGTCATTATCCCTACTTTGTAGATGGGAGAGAGGCTTGGAACTCATGCTCACTAAAAGTTAAATGATAGAAGATTCAAATTCAAACTGAGGCGGCTGGCTCCAGAGTCCGTGCTCGCCCTGTAAGTCAAAGACTAAACTCCTTAAAGCACCCTACCAGGCTTTGTCTCATGAGGTGACCAGCACATCCCCCCGCGCTGGCTCCTTCCCCTTCAGTCCTGCACCCCAAGACCAGCAGTGCAGTGCCGGGCTCTTGCCTGCACCCCGCCTCCTCTACCACTAGAGGGCGCCGCGAGCGGCCGCCCCCTCCACTAACAGCTCATTCCAGCCAGGGCTGCGCCGCGGGCGTCACACCGACAGCAAAGCCGCTGAGGCGTCCGCTCGCCGCTGGCCGCAGGGCCGCAGGGAGGGCCTCCAGCTAAGTCCTTCAGCCGCCCTGAAAGGAGACGAGTCATTTACGAGCCCCCCACACTCAGCCCCGCCTGCATCAGCGACTCGGCGCGCGCTGCGTCAACCCTGCGGCGGGGGGGCGGGGCAGGCCCCTAATCACGTGAGCGCTCCCCCCCGCCCTGAACACGTGACCTCCCGTCCCACTCACGTGACCCCCTGGCCGCCTCGAGGCCGGAAGCGCCGGCGAAGTAGCGCGCGCGCTCGCGTCTCCAGGAGTGCCCGGCCCCGCCGCGCGCTCGTGCTCGCCCTCGCCCTCGCGCACGTTCCCGGGGTTCCGGGCCCGAGAGCTGCTCGGCGGCCGCGCGCGCGCTACCCAACCGGGTCCCCGCCCCCAGGCGCACCGGGCTCGCCAGCCATGTGCTCGTTAGCGTCGGGCGCTACCGGTGGGTACCCCGGCCTCTGCGCCGGCCTCGGCCAGCCCTCGTGCCGCGCCGCCGTGGGGCCGCGGGGAGACCCTCCCCCTGCGCCGCCGGGGCCCGGAGCGGGGGGGAGCGGGGCTCGCAGGGAAGGTGAGGGAGGAACGCGGCGCGCCCGGCGTGGGGAGCGCCCCCTCGGGCCCGGGGAGAGCCCCCTCCCCACCCTGCGCCTCGCGCGCCCGGTGGGCTTTGGCGTCGGGGCCGATCTGATGGTTTGCATGTGCAGGGGGCCGGGGCGCGGAGGCGCCGGAGGAGGAGGAGGAGGACGTGCCCGAACTGTCAGACAGCGGCGACGAGGCCGCCTGGGAGGATGAGGACGAAGCCGATGTGCCCCACGACAAGCAGCAGACCCCTTGCCTGTTCTGTGACAGGTTCGTCCATCTCAGCTCCTGGCTCTCGCCCTGGGGGGGTCCGGGGCCGCGTGGCTCTGGGTCGTCTGCTCAGGAACCACGAAGGGTCAGGAATCGAACCAAAGTGGCCTGACCTCGAATTCTTGAACCAGTGGTTTGGAGTGAGGGTTTGTTAAGGAGAAAGACCACAGTGATGAGAGGGAGGAGCTGAGACCTGGATGCTGGACTGTGCTGCTTCTCATTGCCCAGCCTCAGTCTCCCCTTGTGTAAAATAAGAGGATTTTGACTTCCCAAATCTGTGCACCTTTATCACCTGAGACACAAAAAAATACAGATGCTGGACTCAGCACCTCAGTCTGTCTTTCTTTTTTAAAAAGATTTTATATATATGCATACAAGAGCTGTGGTACAGGCCAGAGATGGGGGGAGGTGAGAGATTTCACCATAGACAGCGTGGGGAACAGAACAGACAGACTGACTGAAACACACTGCTGAGGGGAGCTGCGGGCGAGACAGCAGAGGTCTGCTGCGCCGTGTGGATTTCTCCCTGGCTGGCCTGGGATGGAATTCATGCAGCAGACACTGCGGATTGGTAGCACGGTGCTTAACCCCTTGTGCTACCAGGGAGGCCCAGCACCTAAGTCTTTGTAAATAAGGGATACGGTCTAGAAATCTATAACATAAAGACACTGTATGAGGTAACTCAAATGAATAAAAAGTTTGAGAGTCACGAAACTAGATCCCTCAGAATCTTTCCATCTTTACCATCCTATAAGTCTTTGAAAGCAGAACGTATCTCAGGAGAACATTTCATTTGAGTTATTTAGTCCCTTAGCACACCTGAGGTTTCCCACCTATTTAAGGGAGAGGAATTGATGCCTTTTGCACTTCAGGCAATGGAGACTGCAGTATCAACTTGTTCACCATCATAAAGGTGTGGTTTGTCTTATGTCCAAACTTGTGTTCTTTTCACTTAAAATTTTGCCTCTTCACAAGCTTTGACTTTGACTGCTGTCGGGCAAATTGGCATGAAAGAAGCCTGGTGGCACTAACCAGTGCTACTTTAATAAACATTTTTCTTTATCTCCTGAACTTGGATGTGGTGCTTTTGGTGGTACATTCAAAAAGTTCAAACAAATTTGGGTAGGTATAGAATGTCTACATATACTCTAGTTGTCATAACATAATACTTATCAGCTCTCAGGGATGCCCTTCTTTGTGGTAGGCCGCATAAATACTGCGGAAATAACCTGCCTTGGTAAATAAACATTAATTGAAAACTAGGAGCTGCATATGTGCTACGTAAAAGTATGTAGCTTTTCTATTATTTATTGCTAACCTTATGTGTTCTTCAGTTTTGCAGGGCATGTAATAAAGTGGCTTAATCCTTACTATGCCTATAATGCAAGTACTTTGTGAACACTATGGGATAACTTTTGAAATATGGTACTTTGGGAATGTGCCAGCTGTGAAATTACATGTTGTGCTTTATTTCTAAAAAGCATTTTAAGCTGTGCCATTTCAAAAATCTCTGAAAGCATAGTTGACAGTAGAGGAGAAAATCTCATGTAGGGAATTTCCAAGACTTGAAAGAATCTGTCAAAGGGAGTGTTCTTTCTTAAAAGCCTTTTGATAAATTTAGTGCTATTTTTTGGCAAGTAAATTAATCTGAACACTTACAGAGTAGTTTTAGGTATAAAATGTGACTGAGAAAGTACTAATTCCCTTTAGAAGTACTGGTTTTCTCATCTGTATTTCTTCTTAATGAAATAAAACTAGAGACTGGGGGAAAAGTGTATATTTAACATGAAATCAGTATTTAGACTTTTATGAGGACAATTCCATGAAGCTTTTGATTTATTTTTCAGATTATTTACATCTGCTGAAGAAACATTTTCACACTGTAAGTCTGAGCATCAGTTTAATATTGGTAACATGGTCCATAAACATGGTGAGTATTTTTTAGAATAAAGTTTTCATTATGAAATTTAAGTTCAAACTTTATTTTTCCATGCCTTTCTTTTCTACATAAGTCCAGTGTAATGAAATGTATAACAACTTAAGAAAATGAATTTTTTTGTCAAGTGCGCTTTGAGGATAGATGAATAAAGAAATCATTTTTCTACATTAAATTTATCAATATTTAAGCTTATATTGACTTGACAGCTAAAAACAATAAAAATCTGATTGTATTTTTTATCATATTAGAATTAGACAATGGTGGTAGAATGGACTTTGGAAAAGGAAGTAAATCACTATCAAAAATAAAGGTCAAACTTTGAAGTTTAAAGTATAAACTTTAAGGCATGTGAGATTGAGTTTTATAAGGAGCTTGGTGAAAAAATAGAAATAAGGAGTAATGAAATTAATAAGATGATAAGCAAAATATTCAGATCATGATTCTGTTGAAACTTGTGTTTACACAATACAATGAAAAACTTCCACTCCTTTAAGTGGGTGTTGAAGAGTTAGGTTATTCCACTAAAATTAACAAAATAGAAAATTGGTATTTTGGCCGTGGTATTTACTAACAATTAGAAAAGAAGTTATTGAAGAATAGCAAATGCTAGGCAGATGTTAGGTGTCAAACACGATATAATATTTGTGACTCATAAATTCAATTGCAAATACTCTTGTAAGACATAAATGCCTTAGTTTCTGTGGTTTTCTTTTTTTCATGATTTTAATGTGCTTGTTTCAGTTGAATTGGAATCATACTTTTAATATAATTTTCTTTTTTTTTCTCTTACTGTATAGGGATTTGCTATTATGCATATAAACATTTACAATGTCTTCTAAGACATGTTTCTCATAACATTTCTCATGACAGATAATAACCATTTGCTTGTATATGCTATTATTTTCCCTAGTTTTAAATGCTTCTTCAATTTTGGAATCTAGGCGAATCTGATTATAACCTCATTGTTTTTTTAATTTGCATCATTTAATTTAATATAAAAGCTAGTATATTTCCGTACTCCATGTTGTGATGAAATTAAAATCTGGTAAACACCATAAAAATTGGGAAGATGTAGCAACTTGTGGCTCTTAGCATCAACTGACAAATACGTGGTAAAATCTAGAACTTAAATTTTCCAATACTCATGTGTATTGTTCTGACACATGAGTAGAATTCTAAAAATGAATTTCCTGTTTTAGAAGTTTTTTTTTTTTGTTTTTTTTTTTTTTTAAGAAAAGTGTTTAAGAAAATTGTCATGCATCACTGGCTCTCAGTTAAAATATTCAGAAGTGCCAAAGTTATCATTTCTTGTTTTTAATAAGAAATTAAAATATTATAAGTAGTAGAGAATACTTTAACCAAAGAAACCTCCATAGAGCAAGACAATTAAACAGAACTCATTCTGTTAAAATAGGTGAATTTTCTTCTTTTCCCTCCTTTAGGTCTTGAATTTTATGGATACATTAAGCTAATAAATTTTATTAGACTTAAGGTAAGTTGGTAATTTATAGTTTTGTTTGGAAACTAGAGAAAAACCATAGTGACTGTAAATGCACTGATTTAAAAAAAATACAAATAACTGCTATATAAGGAACTTTTTTTAAATTTGGCACTTACATTGGGTGAATCATGAACTTGAGGAGCAGTACAACATATAACACGAATAAAGATATACACACCATCCTTAACAAGAGTTGTTTTTAGCCGAGTCTAGTAAGTGAATCAATGTTATGTGTAAAGTAATTCAGTGTTTGATAAAGGGAAATGTTGATTGATGGTATTTCAGAAATAATTCCTAGTGTGATTTTCAAGTACTTCAATTCCTCTTATTGTTCTATGTTTTTAAATACTTTCTTCTTTCTGTTCTATTGAAATTAATGTTTATGTTGCCACTTCTCCCAAATCCAAACTATCAAAAACTACATTGAGACCACTAATTTAGCAGTCGTCCAGTCAAGTTAATGAAATGACACGTGATAATATGTTCCTTAAATAGATAAAGATTTGTATAATATAGATGTGATTTCTTGTTTTGTTTAATTTCCTAGAATTTTTGCTAGGGGATTTTGAGATTATATGCAATGAAATCAATTTCATATGCAATTAATTAATTAATTTTTATATCCAGAATCCTACAGTTGAATATATGAATTCCATATATAACCCAGTACCTTGGGAGAAAGAAGAGTATTTGAAGCCTGTACTAGAAGATGACCTTTTACTTCAATTTGGTAAGATGAACATACTGTTATCTACTATAATATAGGGTCATTGTTATGGCAAAATAGCGATTAAATGTTATGGGAAAATATATCATCTTTTTTTTTTTTCCCCTAAAGATTTATTTATTTATTTATATAAGCACTGGGTATAGTCAGAAGTGCAGGAGGGTGAGAAAATTCACCAGAGCCAGAGCGGAGAGCAAAACAGGCAGACTGACACAGTACACTGCTGAGGGGAGCAGTGGGAGGCAGGAGAGGTCTGCGCACCATGTGCGACCCTCGCATGGTGGCTGTGGATAGAACTGGCGCTGCAGAAGCTGCGGACAGCTTCGCAATCCAGCGCTCAACCGCTGCGCCACCGGGGAGGCCCAATATATCATCTCTTTTATTCTGTGAAGACTTAATTGGGTAGTTGGTTTTAGTAGAAAAGTTAAGTCACTTAATAACTGACAGTCACAATAATAAATTATCAGGAAGGAATTTAGAAACATACATAAAATTGTTTAATAAGTGTAAGATGTTTTGAAACTTACGGAGACTTGAGAGGATAATTTTTAGTTTAGTCCAATGAAAAATGACTAACATTTTAATAAAGCTACTGGTTAAAAAAAATTATAAGTGGCTTTAATAACATTTACTTTTAGTTCACATATTCAGGCCGGATAATTCTTTTCTTAAGGCATCTACTTTACTGAGATTTTTGTTTTGATGCAGAACAGATTCACCCTAATTTTCATGGACTTACCCATGTATAATAACTCTTGACCCTCCCAGGTGGTGGGGTTACTCTCATTTCTCGACTATAGCTTTCTTCCTTACTTTGCTTTGTGCTTTGGTTCATTCCTTTTTGGACAGGCATTTTGTGAAAATTCTGTTGTGTCTTATAGTATCTTCTGTTGAATCCTGTAGATACTTTATAGGTCTGAGGTGTCATGATAAAGTGATTTTTCTTCTTGTACCCTTTCATTTCTTGTCCGTCAGGTGTGATAGAGGATTTGTTCTCTTTAGGTGAGTAAGAGCATTGTAGTAAGACACATAACTTCCTAGATACTAGTTTGACAGTGTGTACTTGACAAGTTTTTTAATCAGAACTAAGGAAAACTCATGTCTTTGAGAAGTACCATCATTAAGTTGTGTGATGTAGTTGTAAGAATTTTTTTTTTTTTAAAGATTTATTTTTATTTATTTATACAAGCATTGGGTATAGTCAGAAGTGCGGGAAGGTGAGAGAATTCACCAGAGCCAGAGCGGGGAGCAGAGCAGGCAGAAGGACCGAAGTACACTGCTGAGGGGAGCAGCGGGCGGCAGGAGAGGTCTGCGCGCCATGTGGGACCCTCCTCCGGTGGCGGCCGGGGCTCCGGTGGCCGCCGGGGAGCAGCCTGGGATTGAACCGGCGCTGCAGAGGCTCCGGCAGCTTCGCAACCCAGCGCTCAACCACTGCGCCACCAGGGAGGCCCTAGTTGTAAGAATTTTAATGTAACATTCAGGAACTATATGACCCCGGGCAAAGTACTTAATTTTTCTGGTTTTAAGTGTTCATCTAGAAAATAATGACTTCGGACCAGATTTCTGAGTTTCATTCTAGTTCTAAAATTTGGTAAGTCCCAGCTTGTTTCTTTTTGTTTTTACAACTTTTCTTTTATTTCTCCTCAGAGTTACCAAAGTGATATCTTTGATGAATGACAAAGTGCTCACTATGGGCCTTTCAGGACTTCTTCCTAAATTCAAAATCACTAATAACAATAAATTTCCTTTTTTAAGCACTTCCCTCTGATAGGTAGCATCCTAATCTGTGCAACAGCCTTACAAGATAGTAGTCATTGTCACCTTTTACACACTGAAAGAAATTAAGTTCAAATACCTTTGGAGAGTTACAGTTCAATACTGATCTGTATCCACAGAGACCAGTACACGCAGCACTCAGTTAATATCTGTTGATCTGCGTAATCTCTTCCTCTTCTGAACCTCACTACCTTTTCTGTGTCTCATGAAAGTTATCACATACAATCATATATTGAATACAGTACAGACATTTAAAAATAATACACTCATACTGTTAGATTGTGGGTTCCCTATAGAAAGGATTATGACACTTGTTTTTCATGTTTCTACAGCATTTAATGTACCATTTCCATCCTGTGAGTGAAAATACAGTATAATTGGGGGAAAGCAACTTTATGCTGGGGAAACCTGGCAAGGACAACCTTAGTCAGTGAGTCCATGTTCACATTCATCAGTGCTAATCATGTTAATAGTATGTACTCTTGATTAGAAGTGATAAGTATAGCACATTCCTGCTCTCTTCTTCCACCTCCAAACCAATAACCTATGTATAACCATGGAAAAACAATGCAAAGTGAGGAACATTCTATGACTACCTGCCCAGTATGCCTCAAAACTATAAAAGTCATCAAAAACAAGGAAAACCTCAGAAATTGTCTTAGCCTAGAGGGAATTTAGAAGACATACAAACTAAGTATATTGTGTTATCCTGGACAGGGTCTGAGAACAGAAAGGCCTGAGATATTAGGGGAAAATGAATGAAATCTCAGTGAATTAAGTAGAATTTAGTTAATTTTTTTTTGAAAGTATGGTGTATTTGGAACGTTTTCCACAAAGGGTTAATATCCCTTGATCACTTGATAGAGCAGTGGGAAAAATATAAAATTAAGTGATTTCCCCAAAAAGGTATAAAAATAGACTTCAAACATAAGGGAAAAAAGTCCAAACTCAATCAAGAGGTGATACAAATTAATTGTGAGATACCATTTTCACCTATTAGACTGATAAGAAAATTTTAAAATATGATTACGTGTTTTGTTGAAAACAACTGTGGAGAGGTAGGCATTATCATATATTGCTAATAGAATAAAAATTTGGCAATGCCCAATAAAACTGTGTATGCACTTTTTAACCCAGTGGTTTCATAAGGATCTGTCTTTAAAATACACGGCTGAAGACACACACACACAGGATACTTCATTGCAGCATTGCACTGGCAAAATAACAGAAACAACGTAAATGCCCATACATCCACACCATGGAGTAATATACATCTGCTAATAAGATTGAAGCTCTCTGAAACTAATAAGAGTGACATCCAGGAGGTACTATTAAATGAAAAAAAGGCAAAGTCTAAAAGAATCTATATAATATGATAAAAGGGCATTTGAGAAATACACATCTTTGTATTTGTGCAAAAGAAATACAGGGGGAATAAACTGCAAGTAAGGAAACTGGTTGCTTATAATAATCCTCATTATCTGTGGGACAGATGGAAAGAAGGGCACACTGAGAATGAAGTAACAGGAATAAAAGATGTGATTGATATCTCTCTGAGTGTATCTTTTGTGTAGCTCTGACTCTTAGGACCATAGTATTGATTTTCATAGCCTTCATATAATAACATCAGCAATTAAGTAGAATGCATAGGGGGTGCTTGGAGAGGTGGTGCAAAATGGGACACAAAGTCTAACAAATGAACTTAACTGTATTTTAAAAGAATAGTGTAATCACACTGAAGAGGACAGAGAAAAGAATTACCTAAGTAGCTGGAATTTTGACTCTTGTGGTAAGGCTACAGTTAAAAATACTGCTTAATTCGCATAAGTAAAAGGGTTTTTCTCATGATGTGGTTTAGGAATTCTGGTATGTTTTGTGTATACTACTAAAGTTGAATAAGTAATTATATTGTGGATTAAAAGTGTCAGATTTCTCAGTGTCGGAGAAGGTGATTTTTAATAAGGAAATATAGAAGGATGAGGTGAATATTGTGAGTATAAATTGGAGACAGAAGAATAGTATAAACTTGGGGTTTTTAATATACACATCAGTAGGTAAAGAAATATAGATGTGCGTGCCTGTGTGAGTTTGTATATGTACATGGATTTCCTAGCTTCATCTGCTAAGAGATCCTAGAAAAACCCCAGTAGCCATAAGCATCTTTAGTGCCCAGATCTGGATTTATAATTCCATTCTCCACTAATAAGAACCAAAGCTCCCTTAGAGAGGTGGTTTGATTTCATGGATGGGGCAGGGAGAATACAAGATGAGTCTTGTGCCATGTTGTGTGGAAAATACAGAAGTACTTAACAAAAAGGTGGGGGAGGGAGGATTTATCAAAAGCAGAAGAACCAACCTGAAGGAGTTCCTAGTGGCAAATCTGGAGTAATTTGAGCAACATAGAAAATGATACTACTAGATTTTAAACAGTAGGATAAAATAAGCATCCATGAGTCCATAATGGCATAAGTAATCAACCAAATAAAATGAGGAGTAGCTTGACCTTGGAGTAGAATTCCTTTAAAATATGAAGAAGGGAAAAGAAAAATAGAAAATTGTCAGTAGACAAACACAGTAATAACTTACAGAAAAGATCCACCAGTGAATGCTACCACTACTGGGGGAAATTTTAAGGCAAAACAGGATTTGCCTAGTTCAAAGAATCTCCCTGAAGGAACTTTTAACTACAAAGGAGATGGTAACTTTTCTGTGGAGAAATACAGCAACCACCCCCATAACTAAGTGATCAACATCACCAATAATAAGGCACATTGACCCTGTGAGCCTTACTGCACTGAGGGTACAATGGAATTTCTCTGCTTTTCTTGACAAAAATGTGTAGCTTCATTCCAGTAATGAGAAGGCATTGGGCAGACCCAGATTGAGGAATATTCCACAAAATCACTGATCAGTACTTTCTAGGAGTGTCAAAACACAGTTAGTGAGTATATTATTATATAAATAATTAGTTTAGAGGACTAAATATATGTGTTCAGATCATTGATGTCTTAGTTTTTTTAAAACCTATTTTGGTCGATTGTTGAGAGGTGCCTGTTTAAATCTCTGTCAGAGATTGAAGGATTGTCTTTTCTTGCCTTTAATTCTGTTAGCTTTGACCTCATGTACTTTGGAGCTCTTTTGTGAAGTTTATGCGTATGTATTATGCCTTCCTAATATGTTGGCCACCTTTTGTGATAATTCTAAGCTGTCAAAATGAAGTGGAAAAGCATCTTCCTAGAAATGGCTTAGGACTTTGAATTAAGAATCTTAATAATTAAGAATCTTAAAGTTTTCTGAATCTTTTTTCTTTTCAAATTTATTCATTTTACCTTTAACATGATTATTTACATATTATTAACGCTAAAAGTTTTTATGCAATTTTTTATTGCAGCAGAAAGCAAAACAGAAACTTGCCAAAAGAAAGATACCAATTTCTTTGTTTAGTTCTAATCCATAAGATGGTTTACAGTTTGAAGAATTTTGAAAACAAGAAACATAGTAAGAATTGTAATAGGAAGTAAAAATATGGCACACTATCAATTATTAGTTCATATTTTGCTGCTCTCAATTTTTTGTGTACAATGAATGAATTTAGCATTTATTAAAACAATTACTCAATACTCTGCTAGAGTGTCTAGAAATTAGTGGCCCACTGCACTGCCTTTATAACAAGAAGTTCAATTTAGGCGCTAGTATCTATGTTACAATTTTATCACATTTTTTATTAAGCTTGAAGTTATTTTGTCCCAGTTCTGAAGAAGTATCTTTATAAGTATCATAGCTAAAAACCAAACAGAAACAAAGTCATGTTTCTGCCACTCTTTACTGAGCAGAGAATGTAATATCTGCATTGTTTTTAATTGTTTTAAGATCTCAGAATTAATTTAGACCAATTTCATTTGATAGTAGGATTTTGTTAAACTCACTTGCTTCATATTAACTTCTGTTTACAGAATGATTAGTTCTACAGCCATAAGTTAATTATTTACACACAGTGAGATTAAATTTAAATGAAGATTTTTAAATAATTTTAGGAATTAGGATGTTTAATAAGATGAGCAATAAGATGTTACTTAAATTCCACTTCCCCTTACCTAGAATGTAAAAGTTATTGAATGTATAGAATTCTTTACACACTATCCTTAAGGAATAAATAAATGTAGTACCTGTTATTCTACAGATAATGACTCAGGCTGAGAGGTTGCCTTGTGTAGTGGCAAGGATAGGGGTTAAGAATGCAGGCTTGGGTTGAGTTTTAGCACCTTCATTATACAACTATATGACTTTGAGCTATTTATTCACTTAATTTCTCTGAATTTATTTTTCCTCTGTCCTAAAATAGGGGTCAATATGTACACCTTAGATTTGTTTTGAGGATGAAGTGAGATGTAATGCATAAACTTGGAAGATCTCTGGTGATCAATAAATTTAGAAGTTTTTTCCTTCCACTTTTTTTGTCTTTGGGTTTGCTTTGGTATAATTAATACTTATAATTTGCTCAATTTAGCCAACTAATGAAAAACTTAGACCATAGGTATGCTCTTTGAATTCAATTTGAAATAGTTTGGTATTGACTGTTGAAATAAAAATAGTTTGCTAATTTTTCTTAGTTGGCCACGTAATAGGCGCTTTAGAATGCATTTATTCTAACACATTTAATGATAATGCCCATTTGTTTCTTTAGATGTAGAAGATCTTTATGAACCGGTGTCAGTCCCATTCTCATACCCCAATGGACTCAGTGAAAATACATCTGTTGTTGAAAAATTGAAACATATGGAAGCCAGGGCACTGTCTGCTGAAGCTGCATTAGCTAGAGCGCGTGAGGATCTGCAAAGAATGAAGTAATTTATCAATCTTACAGAGGAGCGATTATTTAGTCCCCAGAATAACATAAGTAATGACATGGTAGAAAGGATATGGTAAAACATTTCATATAGTAGAGAGCACAATGTAGAGATTTAATTTTAGAATTTTAAAGATAATGTAGCATTTTTCTCTGTTGTGGATATAGTGACCTAATTTTTTTTTTTTTTGTTTTACCTACATTCATATACTTCTTTATAATTTACTTTGGCACTGATGGTAATTCTGGTAAATATAATTTTCTTGGGTGCTTTTATTCTTTGCTGTTTTCTTACTTTGAATTACTGTTTTTAATTTTTCTGTTTTATTTATTTCTAGCCATTTAAATTGGAAGGATTAACATGCTTTAGGTTTGGGGGAAGCACAGGACTAAGATTTTTGGTTTTAAAGCATCAAAGTGTTTGGGGTATTTAACCAGAAAATCAAATACTTAGGATGGTTCTTTCCAGTGAGTAAATTAGCGTTCTATTGTCTTAGTACTTTTTAAAATTAAAGGTGCATAGAAGCACCTGGGGATCTCATTAAACTGGATTCTGATTCAGAAAGTCTGGAGTAGACCTGAGATTTTGCACTTCGACCAAGTATACTTCTAGCTGTACCTACTGGATCTGTAATTGGTTGCTTTTAATGATTTGCCAGAATGTCCTGCAGGAAAGATAGTATAGTTGATTGCTGTGCCCCTTCCCTGTGTTTGAGATTTTATGCTGGGTAACCTAATATAAAAGCAGTATCTATTTGTTTGCATTTCTCCACCATGTTACAGTGTAGATCTTTAATGTGGTGATCAGAAAGGGAACTGAGTTTTAGAGCTGGAATGGTGGTGTATGTAAATAATTCTTAATTGGGTGCACTTTCTGTCCATTTTTATTCTTTGAGATAGTATGCTTTTAAAAAAATTGTGTTGAAATATACTATTTTAATTTCAACTGCTTAAATAAGATTTTGGGATAATAGAAATAATTAAGTTTAATAAAGGTAGTGTGCCTTTGTTTTCCTTTGTTCAGTTCAAGATAAAATCAGCAGTTGATGGTTCATTCGTGCTTTGCAGAAGGGTAGCTTACAACTAGGTTTGAATAAGCTATTGCTTAAGATCCAGCAGAGGGAGCTTTCAGTTGCCTAAGATAGACTGTGATTTAGAAGCCTCATCACACTCCGCAGTGCATTCCCTCCCCCTTCCTCTTCCTCAACCTCTAGCCTTTCCTTTTTCATGGTCCAATAAACCTGTCTCAAGGGTGTATTTCAAATTGATTACAGACAATTTGCTCAGGATTTTGTGATGAACGCAGATGTCAGAACCTGCTCGTCATCTACTGCCATTGCAGACCTCCAGGAGGATGAGGATGGTGTTTATTTCAGCTCATACGGGCATTATGGGATACATGAAGAAATGCTAAAGGTTAGAAAAGAGCACAAGTGTGCCAAACTCACAATAAGGAAATACAGATTCTTGTAGTAGAATATTGAATAAGTTGGTATTTTTAGTAGAGTAAAATCTATTCCTTTAATAGAATAAAACAGGTTCTTAATACATATGCTGTAGAACTGGTTTGCTTTTTGTTTTTTGTTTTTTTCTGTTTTTAAATCTCTTCGGTATTGACTGTTCATGTGGGTTGAAGAGATTACAGAAGCATCAAAATCACTGTACATTCTATTTACAGTCATTATTAATATTTATTGTTTTGGTTTAAATATAGCTTTGGAAAAATCAACTGCTATAGATTTTAATATTCTCAAGAGCAACTCTCAGTAAGAACAATTAAATAATGTTTGCCTTTTATTATACAAAGGAAATGATTATATTTAGTATTTAACTGAAATACTGACTTCATTTTGGGGGACATAATTCTTTGGTACAACATTTAACTGTAAATCACAATTTTTATGGTATAACATTTTTACATTTAAAATCAATAATGTGTAGGTTTCCTATTTCAGTTAAATAAGGTGTTTAAATTTGGTTGGTTTTAATTTTTATAACAGTAATGTCACTTACCTAGAAGTAGATTTCTAGCTATACCTGGCAGTTATACAATTTATTAAGTATTGTGCTGTAGATTGTAAAATAGCAAGATATGGTTTTTTAATTCGATAAACCTGAAAATACCTAACTAGAATAAAATAAATGTAATGTAAAAATTTTTGAAAATTTTGCATGTTTATCTCTATGAATTTTGGATGACACTACCTTACACACCAACAAAAAAAATTCCTTTTTAAAATCCTTCCTCAAAAGATTTTTATGTTCTCCAGGGATATTTAAAAATGCCTATGTTTTCAGTCAGTTTTCCGGGGTCGGAGAGTGAAACTTTGCCGATTAATACTCATTGTAATTATGTGGGGTCCTTTAAAGCAATGTCATGTCATTACTAATGATATGTCACAGTTTCTTGTGTTTTTGTTGTCACTTGGGTAATGACATAGCATTACAAATAACAGTTATCTTATTATAAGTAATAAATTTAAGTCCAGAGTAAATTTAAAAGAAATTGACTTGTTCTGCTTTCTGTGTTAAAATTAATTTTACTGTGTCTAGAATGTTTTCTTTTAAGGAGTTAATCTAAGCCATGTTTATTATTTTAAATCACCCCATCAATTTAAATGCCATGAACCTTTAATGCCTTTGGTGTGGAAATTGTGTTGGATTTTTCAGACAGATAAGGTCAGTGAGGACATATGAGTGTCCTTGGTACAGTCATCAGGGAAATCTATGTGTGACTACATATTTCCAAAACTGTTCTGGGCACTTTTATGACTTTATGTCTATAACTAGAGGATCTTCATACCTGATCATAAACCCTGAGGTCCTTATAATATATGTGTAGATGTAAAAAGTTTCAGCTTGAAGTTTCCAGTACCATCTTTTCCCTTGGAAAGAATAACTTAAGAATCCTTACTAATAAAATTTTTCCTGTTGTAGTTCCTCTTATTTGTTATCCCAGGTAATTACCTCACCTGGAGATGACTTGATTGACTTTTCACAGGAAATACGGATGTATTCCATTCAAATAAGACAGTTTATTTATTTTTGTATTTTGCTGTGTAGATGGTAATGAATGTGCCTGTACCAAACAATATTTCTTCTATTTCTTATCAAAACAATTCCTAAGAACACATACTCTCTTTCAGGTTGTGTGCTACCACTAGAGTCTTAAGATTTTTATAAGTAATTTAAAATTGAGAAACCATAGTTATAGGACTTTTTTAAAAGAAGATTTATTTATTTTTATACAAGAACTGGGGTACAGGCCAGAGGCACAGGAGGGTGAGAGAATTAACCAGAGACAGCGGGGAACAGAACAGGCAGACGGACCTAAATACACTGCTCAGGGGAGCAGTGGGCAGGACAGGAGAGGTCTGCCTTGCCATGTGGGTTTCTCCCTGGCCAGCCGGGAATTGAACCTGCACTGCAGAGGCTGCGGACAGCTTCACAGCGCTGTGCCACTGGGGAGGCCCCTACAGGACTTAATTTTATGTTTTGAATTGGCCTTGCTTTTAATGGCACTATTTAGGCACATATTGTGATTATAATTAAAAATAAAGGTAGTTTGTGATCTTGTTTTCTGGAGTTAAAATAGTTTTTTTTTGAGTCCCAGAGATTCTGTTGATAGAGGCATAGATTACATGAAGTTTCAAAATCCTTTGCCACTTTATCTTTCTGAAGACGAGTCATTGTTGACTAATGTTACAAATCTGAGATGCATCATTATCTTTTTTCTTCCCCAAGAAAAGCATTAATCACTTTGGTGAACATCTCATAGTCCTGTTTATTATTTTTCTTTACTGCATTCTCCTCTCTGTATCTACAGTGACTTAGGCCTTCTGTCCACCAACGTGAGCCTATAAATCTAAAGCATACTGTTATTTACTTTTCTGCTATCTTTACTAATATTCTTAAATTGTATTTTTATATTTGAAGAAAATTCCATGACATTTTACAAGTCTTAAAATATTATCTTTCTTAGTACTAGACCTCTAATTTTGTTCTGTGTTTTCTTTCACACGTTGATTTATAAGATAGTTTTAAAATTTCCATTGATTACCATATTTTGTATTGAAGTGTTGGTCTTTTATTAGGATAAATTTTTTGAATGGTTATGGCATTAATCCTTTATTTGCGTATATTTTCATGTTTGGTGGACTTTTCAAAAAATTCATTTCTTAGATTGAAGCTCTGCTGTGTTCAAGGCACTATGCTATACTTTGGGTTTCATTAAACTAGGGTGAGCATTGAATGGACAGATAGATATATGTAGAAAGAGCCCAGACAAAGGATTGTACTTGAGCAGAGCAGCAGTGCACGGACTTAGGACAGGAGTTGGGATGCCAGTGATTAAGTTGGAGCAGTGGTGAAGCAGTGTGATTGGTGAGAGCTTTCTGCTGACTGCCTTCTTGACTGATGTTTACCCTTTTAGGTTGTGTTGTGTCAGCAGAAAGCTCTGCCTATAGTGTAAGAAGAGCATAAAAAAGTAAAATTGTATGAGAAGGTTCTTTTAAAAAGTGTCTTTAAAAGATACTTTTAAATTAGTTAATGATTTGAACATTTATTTAAACATTAAATTCTTTTAATCATTCTTAAAATAACTTCCAGGGGAAGATTTAATAAGCCTGACCTAAAATCTTGTATGTAAAACAATTAGAAATAATCCCATCAGAAAGCATGAAACTTATTGCAGAATTCTGCTTTTTAGGTCTAGTAAATAAAATGACTTGCCTTTTAATTCAGATTTCCTTTAACTATATGTATGTCTCTATTTAGATAAATATATGTATCTATAGATCTTTTAATCCCACAACTGGCATAAAAATGTTTTCTGGGGATATGAATTGTATACATTTTGATATTGTAGCATATGGCATAACTGTTCTTTTTGTCAACTATAAAACCAAAAACTAGAATTCTCATTCTGAGATCATCATATTCATTTTACTCACAACTTAATTTTACTTTACAACTTAATGACAGCTTTGCCCCTTACTCTGCTTAATTTGCTGTCAGTATGTGTCTCAAGTTAGGTCATTTAGAAAAGAGTCAGCTCTGTTCATGGGCCAACATAAATGCTGGTGTTCAGTGCTTACTTTGGTCCCAGGTCATGTGAGACTCAAGAGTATAGATATCTTATAATGTGGGCTGCAGGTCTCAAATGGGTTGCCTTTTCATTTTCTAGTACAGAAAGTTCTAGAAACTAGATAGGATAGAAATTATTTAAGTGTGATCAATGAATCAATGACTTTCTTAGGAAAATAATCCTCATGCTCATTTTAGCCTCATTTTTCATTTATATTTGTCTATTTTTTCTTTTCTTTTTTTTTTTTTGACATGGTTCCACAGGGAGTCAGGCCGTAGATTTCACGCCCTATTTAAAGAAGCAAAACATTATGTTCATCTTCTTTTAGCTTTAGTGATCAGTTGAAAGTTTAAAATGGTATTGTATGTCATTATTGTTAGTTATGTCAAGACAAAAATGTATGCATTGTTAGGAACATAGATCTTATTTGACTTTCACCAACATTCTTGATATAAATATTTTCTCTGAGTGTTATTTCTATTTGTTTTCTTTAAGGGAAAAAATAAGCTTGATTTTCCAGGCAAGAGGTAGCTATGGAACCTAGCAATTTATGATAAAATAGCAAATATTTCCTTAAACACATTTTTAATTTGTTTAGACAATGCTGTAAACACAGTGTTTTTCTCTCTCCACCCCAGGACAAAGTCCGAACAGAAAGTTACCGAGATTTTATATATCAAAATCCACATATTTTCAAGGACAAGGTGAGTAGCATTGGCTACAGAAGTGTGTATTCCATGTGACTCGTGAGCAGTGGAAATTCTCTCCGGGTCATTATTAATGATAACAGTTGATTTAATATACTTTGGCTTTATTTCATACTAGACTTATGATGCTGCTCTATGGTTTAAAATTTTGATAAGGTGCTGTTTGGTGCCGTTAGTCAACATTATACTCTTCTTTAATTGAAATTCATTAATTATAGTGACATCATTCAGTTAAACTGTACTCATCCAAGTAATTTTGCTTAAACCATATTTTTGATTCACTGTGATTACTGTGAATTTCAAACATATCAGATGGGACCCTCATACCAAAACACACTTTTAATTATTATTCTAGTTTTGTCATTGGTTAAAAATCGGTAATTTTAAGAAGTTATTATTATAACAATACTACATTTAAAATCTTTTGTGTGCTTTCTTTTAAGGCCTCATTTGCTCCTTTATGAGACACTTTACATTTTATAATTAGTCATGATACTACCGCAGGTTAATTCTGAGGTGATTTTTTACTGTCTTGCGTATGTGTTTGAAATCATGTCATTTGTTTTTCCTCCCTTGTGAATTTCTTTCATTTTTTTTCTTCATTACTCTTGTCATTCCCCCCTCTCCATTGACAAGGTTATTTAAAAATTCGGATCTCCTCTTTGTTTCTGTTTATTAGAAATTAGTCCACTAATTTAATCAAGAAAAGTATTAGTAGTTCTGCCTTGCTTTGGGAATTTGCTTAGAATTTCCCTCCCACTCTTTCCACTTCAAGAACATGTTTTTTGATACAACATACTAGGTTTTAAATACTAAAGGTTTTGGTAATTCCCCTATCATCTCCATTTTAAAAGATAATTCTCAACAGTTACTTCAAAGACTTTAAATGATATTGCAGCAATGACTAATCTTTATAGTTTGAAAGATCTCTTCATTTATATATTGTTTGGGATGTAACCTAGTTTGACTTTTCATTTTCCATAAGTGCTCCCAAGAGCAGTATTTCACTTGTGTCTTAGCTTAGTTGACCAGTTACACAATTTATAAGGTACTCTGATGTCTTCTGATGTTTCTGTTTTTGCTGATTCCCCCTATAGACAAATAAGAGAATTTCATTCTTAAAATCATGGATTTTATCAGTTTTTTTTGTGCTTAGCTTTTATACTTTTTTATATGTTATTGCAGTGAGACTAAGAATTTTTTTATAGTTTTTATATCTGTACACAAATACTGGAAAGGACTTATTTAATAAAAGCTACTTTGTTTCCAGTGAATCAAATTATGTTGCCATTAAAGTTTTTGTTCTATGGTCAGATTATGCCCAGATTTTTATTTTCCCTCAATATGTTGAATAAAACTTAAGCGTGCACTGGTTTGGGAATCAATCATTCTACCTGGACTTATATATATATATATATATATATATATATATATATATATATATAAAATTACATATAAATATATATATTAAATAGTAAATCTCTTTGGGTCGCATCTGCAAAATGACATTTTGAGCCCTTCCAGTTCTAGATTTCTGTGATTCTGTTTTTATAAAACAAATAGATGAATACCATAAGAGTAAATTAAATGTTTCTTTTTAAATATACTTCTGAATGGATTTGTGTTGTAATAAGAAAATATTGAAAAGACTCCAGTATTAGTAATCATAGTATTAATTATTTAGAATTTAAGTGATAATTACTATTTTTCTGTATATGGAGTAAATCTCACTGGGTTCATGTAAAAATGTATACATTATACATTTTCAGATAAAATATTTTACAATGGAAAGCACATTCATAATGTGTAATTATTTTGTGTTCAACTCCTCTTACTGAAGAGATTAAATCTGCCAAATTAAAAAAAGGGCTTATTAAAATATTGGGAGTACCCTTTAATACTTTGCCTAGATGCTTGCTACTCTACCAAATAGTGCTTTGTAAAGATTTGTTTTTCTAAAAGATGTTTATAATTGAAAATGTGTTCCTTCCATTCCCTTCTCTTCCCATTCCTTTGTTCTTGCTTCTTTTCCTTCATTCTTTTCTTAATATTATTTCAATTCACAAAGCTCCTGTGGAGACCATATGGTTTCTTTGATTTAATTTAACTTTGGGTGGCATTTAATTGTGTTATCACCCAGTCATAATTAATTTCTATTTGTAGTCCATTGAGGAAATTCCCAGTTAGGTGCCTTCATTATACATTTGATTATTATCTACAGTTAAAATCGATTCACTTACTCTTTTTTCTTTTTAGAAAAGCAAATCAACTAACTCTTCATCATTTTACAAAAGATTGATTTATTCTATTATCATTCCTACCTCTTTTAGTCTATCCAGTTTTAGTTTATTTGCCTAAATTTTGTAATTCTGAGCTAGATGTAATAAATAATTGATATGCAATTAAAATATAATTTGAATACAGGCTTTACAAGCAAATTGACCTAGTTTTGAATACTAGTTTTAGAGTTTGCTAACTGTTGATCCTGTAGCTTTCCCTCTCTGTAGCTCACGTTCCTCATTTGCAAAATGATGGTTAAATAAGAATTGTTTTATATATATTCTATGTATTTATGTACAAAAGTATATATATAAATTATATATCTCTGTGTGTGTAGTCTTACAAAAGAACACTGTTGATTTGAGTGTGTGGTACATATCCTTTTCTACTCAGTAATTTTTTTCTGTGATAATATTATACAGTATTATACTATTCTTGTTTTTGTGGTTAATACATCTTACTTGTAAGTTAAAAACCAAATTTTCTTTTTATTGGCAGTGATGTTGTATAGGTTGCATCTTAAATGAAAATTCTTAACTTTCTTGTCCGTAAATATAGCTATATTGAAATGTGCCTTTTATGCAAGAACAGGCAAATTCTCCCTTTGAAGCTTTTTGAGCCTGAGGATAAGAGAGCAGAATAACAGTCTTTTGACAACTTTTTATTTCTTCATTGGAAATCAGGCTGCTGCTTGTATTTTTTCCTTTCTGGAATCAGAACTGGTAAATTATATTATTCAAGATATAAATAGGATGAGGGACTCTTCTGTGTATTCTTACATAGGAACAAGCTTAATTAGTTATGTGCAAGACATATGAAAAAGGTTGAAAAACCTAAACATAACGGATGATATAAACAAATTAAAATTTTGAATTTTGGGTAGGAGTACTCAATTGTGTGTTTTACCTAAATTAATTTGTAATTTTGACTCAGCCCCCATATAAATGTTAAAAGCCTTTTAAAAAAATCCTAGACAAGTTGATTCTCTTGTTCTTATGGAGAAATAAAACCATCCAGAAATATTGTGAAAAAAAAATTGCAATGACAGTAGACCAATCATACAGATATTAAAACATTTTATAAAGTTTTTGTAATTAGAAAAATTACTGGCATATGATTATAAAGATTAATGGAACAGAATGAAAATTCTGAAATAGACCAAAATACACACGGAAATTTTAGTGAATGCTAGAAAGGTCCCTGTCTTCATCTGCTCAGGCTGCTGTTACGAACAGTCCATAAACTGAGTGGCTTATAAATAACAATTTTATTTCTAACTATTCTGGGACTTCAGAGTCAACAACAAGGCCCTAGAAAATTCTGGATAGGGCCCTCTTGCTATGTCCTTACATAATAAAAGATAGCAAGGAATCTCTGGAGCCTCTGTTATGAGGGCACTAAACCCATGAGGATTCTGCCCTCCTGACCTCATCACCTCTCAAAGTCCCCACCTTCTGATATCATTACCTAAGAGATTATGATATCAACATGAATGTGAGGGAGACAGAAACTTTAAGATCACAGCAGTCATGTATCAAATCATTGGTGAGGGTGGGGGAAACACTATTGCAAACATATTGAGACAGCTAGCCACCTGAACAAAAGTAAAGTTGGAACCATACTTTTTAGTGTATAGCATGATTTAAAAAAAACTATAGTAGTGAAATCATAAATATACTAAGGGAAAATGTATGTGGATGAAATGTGGGGAATTTTGGAAATGTCAATCTTGTAATCAAAATTTACAGGCCATAAAAGGAAAGCTTGAGTTTGACTTTATGAATCTCTGTATAGCAAAAATTATTTTCTTTTTTAAAAGATTGAATGATTTTTTTTTTTTTAAAGATTTATTTATTTATTTATACAAGCACTGGGTACAGTCAGAAGCGTGGGAGGGTGAGAGAATTCACCAGAGCCAGAGCGGGGAGCAGAGCAGGCAGACGGACCGAAGTACACTGCTAAGGGGAGCAGCGGGCGGCAGGAGAGGTCTGCGCGCCATGTGGGATCTCCTCCCGTGGCCGGGGAGCAGCCAGGGATCGAACCAGCGCTGCAGAGGCTGCGGACAGCTTCGCAACCCAGCGCTCAACCGCTGCGCCACCGGGGAGGCCCCTGAATGATTTTTTTTAAAAGATTTATTCATTCATGTGAACAAGAGCTGAGACACGGTGGGCGGGTGAGAGGACCCACCAGAGACAGAGTGAGGAACAGACTGATCGAAACACACTGTTGAAGGGAGCAGCGGTTGAGGCAGGAGAGTTCTGCCTCACCACGTGGGCCCCTCCCTGGCTGGCCAGGGATTGAACCCTTGCTGCAGAGGCCACGGACTGCTTCATAGTGTGGTGCTTAACCCCTTGCGCCACCAGTATAGTTTATACAGAGTAAAAGTTATTTTTGGCCCTCCCCAGTGGCACAGCGGGTTGAGTGCAACGCTGTGAAGCTGTCTGCAGCTTTGTTGTGTTTTGCCACTTTGGCAATAAAGGAATTAGAAACAGCATTTCCCTATTAAGAAGTCCATGGAAATTGTTTATTTCATATAAAAAAAATCTTTTAAATTTAGTGTTGTTGAGCCTGATTGCAGTAGGCTGTACAACTAGCCAACTATATAAATTTAGAACAACCCACAGTAATAGTGTCTCCAAATAGAAATAACTATATTTGAGTGGTAAAATTTTAAATTTATATTGTGTTCTGTTTTCCCAATCACAAATAACAGACCTATTCAGTAACATCTTTTTTTTTTTTTTTTTTTAACTACCAGGTAGTTTTGGATGTTGGTTGTGGAACTGGAATTCTTTCTATGTTTGCTGCTAAAGCAGGTGCAAGGAAGGTTCTTGGAGTTGATCAGTCTGAAATACTTTACCAGGCGATGGATATCATAAGGTAGATGCATTTTAAGGCTGGTTTAATATTTTTTGTATATTTGATGGCTACTTAACAGGTTTTCTTGTCTTTAATAGCTCTCTAATGCAAACTCAAGACTTTTGTTTTTTATTAAAAATTCATTTAAGAATAACAGGATTTTAAATTGGATTGAACTCACCATGTTTGATCCATGAATAATCTTCACCATTTTCATTGAAGAGAGTTATTTTTACCTAATTTTCTGATTTTCTAATTATGGCTATAAATATGATAATAATAAAATTATAAATCACTGGCATATAAGGAAATATTATTAGTCTATACAAAACTGAGCATGTCAGTAATACTTTCTTTAGCAAATGGCATTAAGACTAAAGCGTAGAGGTTATCTGTTCTTTTGTTTTTTGACATTAGCCCTTGTTCCTCCTTGATAGCAAAATAAATAATAAAGTGGCTATAAAGATGAAGTAGATTTAATTCATCCCCTAAAACTTAATTTTATTCAATAAAAATATCTCTTCTCTTTGAGAAGTTAGGCTAATCAGTCAGTGGTTGATTATACAGTTGGTTTATGTCCTAGAAAGGAGACCTTTTTTTGAACTTGAGTTTTTAGAACTAGATTTCTTTAGCTGTGTGCTTAACAAAAGCACCTTATGTTTGAACTTAGGAGTTATTTCCAGAATAATTAATGGGAGGCTTTTCAGTGATTCTTAAATTGTTTTCCTACCTATTCTTAAAATTGATTAAAGTTGGTCTTTCCTAATGATTAAAAAATTTGAATATGATTATGTATGTAACATGTTTAAAGCTTCAGATTTTATCCCATAATGTAGAAATACAGTGTTGTAGTTAAGAGTACATGTTCAAATCAGTCTTGGGTTTGAGTCCACATTCTACCATTTAGCAGGTGTTTGAATTTTGTTTAAATTTTATCTTACCTCTTTGAAATCTTATTTGTTTCACTGTCAAAATCAAAGTAATAATGGCTACATCATGTGGCTATGAGTAAAGTGAGTTGTAAATAAGACACACATATGAATCACTTTGGCATATTGCCTGGCACATAGTAAGTATTCAAATGTTAGCCACTGTGCTAATATCAATGAAAAAATTATCTTGTTTAGATTTTTCATAGATAAAGGTAAACTTTATGGTTCTGATTGTCTTATTGGAAAAGATAGGCAGGCAGGCAATCAGTTCTGTAATCGAGTGAAGTGTTTTTTTACTTCTTAATACTCCAGTAAGAACACATCACCTTTTTGGATATTCCATAAAGTGTATCCTTACATGCTTGTGCATTGCCATCCAAAAATGAGATTGTTTAGAAGAATTATCAAAAAATTTTTGATTGATAATAAGATGACATTTCTGCTGGAAGTTCTACTGCTTTGACAGACCATGTCCAGTTATGTGTTTTTCGGTACTCATTCGCCTCCCTTGGATTCTACTCTCAATTTATAACTTTTCTGTCATTAGTCAATGAAAACAGCTCTTCTGATTAGCAGGCTTTGTGTTATCTTTAGCCCTTTGAGGCTTCCTTCTTTGTCAGAAATCAATACACAGCAGAATTAATCTTCACTGTTGCGCTATTTATAATAGCTAAGTTATTGGAACAATTGAAGTGCCCAAGGAAGGTGAGGGAATTAAGAAGATGAGGTATATATACACAATGGAACACTATTCTGCAGTAAAAAAAGATGAACTCTTGTCATTTGCAAAACATGGATAGAAGTGGAGGGGATTATGCTAAGTAAAATAAGTCAGAAAGAGAAAGACAAAGACAAATATCTAATGGTTTTACTTACATATGTAATATTGGAAAACAAAACAAAGTATCTGTTCAAACCAAACCAATAACAAATTCTAGAAATCTGTCTATAGAATTAAGGCTTGAGAGGGGTATGGGGAGGGTGGCTAGCAAGTGTGGAGGGGACCAAATGGACTATGGTGGAGGATTATGAGTATATTGGTGGTGGGTGTGGTGCATAGTACCCACCTCACCTGATGGGTTCCTATATGTCTGAATCACCTACGGTGTTGTAAACCAATCTTACTTCAATGAATTTTTTTTTAATCTAAAATTTTTAATTAAAAAAATTCTATAAAAATTCAGAAGCTTACATCTATAAAAAACACTTTAAATTCTAAAAGATGGATACTTGTAAAATATGTATTTTGGTATTCCTTTAAATATATTCAACTTAACAGTTTTTTTATTGTACTCAATGATAAAATAATTTTACCTCTGTTGAAGAAAGAGACCTAACATACATACATTTGGGGTTATATATAATGTAGATTTGAGAGAGAGAGAGAATGAGCTAGAGAGAGGAAGAGAGATAGCTATTGATAGATCTACTTAAGGAGGTCAGGTTTGTGATTCTGAGGTTGCAGACATGAATAAAGTAGATAGGGGATAAAATTTTCAGAGATGTTGTAATAGCAGGGATAACTGCATCTCTTAAGTGATGAATGAATGAAAGAAATGAGAGATTTTTTCTCATTCTTGCTGTCATAATTTGAACTCTGCAATGAATGATCATTTCAAAAACATAAGCTAACCTAAGGATAGTAAAGCTATTCAGTTGCCAGACAATTGTATGCTGTGTTCACCCTCAGGCAGCAGAGGCAACTTGTAGTATTTTCACCGTTTCTCTCACTGCTTTTGGTTTCTTTTGCCTCAGCCATGGACTAGCTCATTTTTCAGACTTTTGGATGTTACTGCAGAAGAGTTTTCAGGAGAAGGTCAATTCATCATGCTACTACAATGCAATACTTCTAAGTATGACTAAAGATGCGATCTTTTCCATTGACGGTGTCTAGAATAATATTAAAAATGAAATATTAAGAAAAGCCTAGAGAACACTTTGATCACAAAATACATGAGGGTAATATCTTTAAATAATGAATGTGTCTTTAGATTTTGTTTCTGAATTCAAAAGAAATAGCATATAAGATCAAGTGAAGAAAATTTTGAACTGCTGATGAGGCTAAAATGGTTTTTTCAAAAAAGATATTTTGCTGCTCAAAGCCCTAGAATTCTGTTGAAGGTAAAGAAGGTGATCAAGATACCTGACAAAGAAGCTAAACTCATGTCTTTTCCCCACCCCCAGTGACTCCTTAATTTCCTGTCTACTCAGTGGTCCTTTTTTTTGGAGAGGGGAATCCAGGAGCTCAGTAATTCACTAGAATAACTCACATTGCTCAATATAAAATTGTATTCACAGGTAAGATTTGTTACATGAAGAGACAGAGTCTAGGAACAAGAAGGAAAAAGAATACCCGTGTTATTTTTCATGGGATTTACATATGTTTGTCACCTGTCTGGAATGGTTTAGCATCCTTGGCTTTTGTTTACATTTCTGAATAGACAAGGTTGTTTAATAAAGGCATCTATGTCCGTTTTCTCTCTGAGGAGAGGGGAGGAGGACCTGATCTGGTCACCATTCCATTAAATTGTCCCTTTAGAAACTTGAATTTCGTGTAACTCTTGACTCCAGGGGTTAGTGTTGCAGAGAATGACTTTTAACTCCACAGTAATCATCTCTAATAATATGTAGAGTGCAGGATTCGTCACAGGTTCACCAATATGATTTAATTCCTCTTCTCCTCCTGTTGCCAGAATTTTTTGTTTTTGGTTTTGTTTTTTTGTTTCTGTAGTCATCTTCTGGATTCTCCATGCATTTATCATGGATTTTATATAACTTTGTTGTCATTTCTGTATGCTTGGGGAACAAAAGAGAAGTATGTATGCTTGGGTGCCTATTGAACTAAAAGCAAAAAAGTATTACACCTGCATATTTTTATATCAGGGAAATTAGTCCCTCCTCACCCCTCAATGCTTTCCCCCTATATGCTTTAAAAAAAAAAAAAATAGCTGTTGTTACCCATGTGTTCTAGGTGAACTTTATAATCTTGTCAGTAACTTTAAGTTCTACATACTTGAGAAGGTGCTCAGTGTATAGAACTCTCATGGCTTTTTATGGTTTTTGTACATCTATCTTCCTACCAAACCACATCTTTATGTAAATCTTAATGGGACAATGTACACAAATTTGAGCCTTTTTCTCATTGTGTTTTAATAAAATCTAGACCCCTTTAGCATCACCTCTGCCTCCCAACTTCGTTACTACATACTCCCCTTGTTGCTCTGATCATACTAAACTACTTAAGGTTCTTCACATTTGCCACTTTAACTCATATACACACACACAGGCCATTTGTGTACACAGAGAGTACCCTTCCTTAAGCCCATAATGATACACATCCATCTTTCTAAGCTCAGATGCACTCAGTTAAGGACTCATGAGCTCCCATTGTACCCTATTTATGCTGTTTAATGTTGTGTTTGCCTTAGACCATGTTCTTCAGTGCATGGACTATGTCTTTTATCTCCATATGCCCAGTGCAAGATAATTGTGATCATGTCCCTATATCATAGGGAAAAATTAAATTGCTAATTTTAATATAGGAAAGTACTAGTTGTTCTAACAAAATTTTCCTTTAGAAAAATAATTTCAAGTGTTGATTGGATTTTTTTAAAAAAAACTTTGTTTTGTTTTAAATATTCCTACTAGAGTGTCATATAGATTAAAGCTATGCTAGTTCTTTAACAGGTATATTTAGAATGGAATTCATTTTTTTTACTCTAAAGTAAGGTATAGTGAGTAGCCACTTGAGAAGAGTAATGTATATATATTTTTTCATAAATTGGCGCATCAGCTAGTGATTAAGATGAACAGTGTCAGGAAAGAGGTTATCTGGATGCTATCTTTTTAATATAGAATTACTGGAAATTATGTGTCTTTTTTTTCTGTGTATTCCTTAAAATCTTAGTCTTTTCTGTTATATTCCTATTTGAGCAAGTAATTACTGATGCAAGTAGGATTATGACTTGTAGCAGACAGTAAACATCCTGAGCAGATGGCCTCTTACAAAACACATCTTGTTTCAGCATAAGCATTCTAAAGATAGTTCTAGACAATAGGAGCATTTTGCTCTTTTATGAAGCTTGCTTTTTGTTTTCTTTGAAGTGTTTGTAATTGTTAGAGGCTTCATAAATATTTCAGTAAACAGTAAGCAACTGTAGCAATTTCATTAATACCTCTGAAAAAGTAAAAATATGATACAAGCATCTTTTTGTAACTTTCGTGTAAAAGATCACATACTAAAAAACTGCATAAAATCTAAACAGTATTTTATAATACAAGTTAAGTGCACATAAATAACAAGAAATAGGAACTCCCTGGTGGCACGGGGGTTGAAGACAGCGCTATCAAGCTGTTGCCAGCCACTGCAACACAAATTCAATTCCCCGGCCAGTCAGTGAGCAATCCACATGGCACAACAGACCTCTCCGGTAGTGCGCGCTGCTCCCCTCAGCAGTGTATCTCAGTTGATCTGCCTGTTCTGTTCCCCACTCTTTCTGGTGAATCCTCTCACCACCCCACCACATCTCTGGCCTGTACCCCAGTTCTTATATGCATAAATGGATAAATCTTTAAAAAAAATCAAAAAGCAAGAAATAGAACTTTGCCAGAACTTCAGAATGCCCACCTCTATTTGCCCTTTCTTAGCATGGTGTTCTTCCTGTCTTATTCCGGTAACTACCCTCTTGTCTTTCATTTTGTTGTTTTGCATTTTAAGTATTTCCTTCTAATTGTCTTCACTCTAACACATTACATAAAACATAGAGACACAATGACATTATTGGTATGTATTCTTGATAAAATTCTGATTTCAAGCTGAAGTTTTAAATATTGTTTAGTATATTGCCATATTTAGCAAAACATTCTTTGGGCATTCATGGAGTAACCAAAAAGTAATTATATCACCCAGGGTATAAAACAGCTTTAAACATACTTTTGGGCTCCACCAAACAATATGAATAGTTGCCAAGAAATTATGTAATTGGACTAGCTTTCATAATCTGTTTAACATACTAATTTAATTCAATATGATAATTTTCAGACTAAATAAACTTGAAGATACTGTTATACTAATCAAAGGAAAGATTGAAGAAGTTCATCTTCCTATAGAAAAAGTGGATGTCATTATATCTGAGTGGATGGTAAGTGTTTACAGAGAAAAATACTTTTATTGTTTAAAAACAAAGAAGGTTTTTTCTTCACTTAATTTTATTTGTTGTGTGGCTGAATGGTAACATTTTAAAAATAGCTACAATTTTTTTTAATATTGGTTTATTCTGAAATAGGACTTATTTATAGGCCAGTCATTGACTTTTAAAAAAGAAACTAAATTAGCTTTTAACTTTTAAATCATGGTAAATAGTTATTATCGTTTTGCTTTCTAAATGTTTAGAGACCTAAATATGTTTTCCTATAAGTCTTTGAGACCTAGTAAAGACTTACAAGCATTATTTCATCAAAATTAAGAAGTTTCCATTCTGCTATCATAATAAATCTATCTTTTTGACCTGGTTGTATCCTTTATCACATAAAATAGTATTACTGCATTATTAAAATAATAAAATTAAAGTAAGTTCTGTGACTTATAATTTGCTGTTAAAATCAAAAGCTAAGTCATAATGTTCATTTATTTAAAGTATATAAAAAAGTAAATTTAATGGTATTTGACTTACTGATGTTCCAATTCAGTAAAGATAAGGTAAGTTGTGTTTTTACATGGACATATATTTTTTAACTATTTGGAAATTTTTAAACTTATTTTTAAAAATCTATATTTGATTGCATATATTTTCATTAAACTATAAAAATTTTTGAAAAGTGTTGGGTTTTGCTCTAAAATTATGAACTTAAACTTAGTAAAAATTCTAGCAAAGAAGCAGGAGTTTCAGGGAGCTCTTGAAATGTTCAGATTTAATTTAGTTCCAATCTAGAGCCAGTGTCTGTCACTATTGTTGGCAGTCACTTTTTCAAAATGTGGAATGGGGTGTGTGTGTGTGTGGGGGGGGGGTATTGATTGAGGTACTAGCTTTGAACAGTTCTCAATCACAATATTACTCTTCTTTTTATATGAAAGAGCTTTCATTGATACTCTGATTTTTTTTTTTTTATGAATTGAGTGAGAAGCTACAAACTTAGTTATCTATAATTAAATATTCAACATCTCTTTAAAGGCCATAAAAAAGATATTTTAGAGAAAGCACATTTGAGGCATTAACTTGACAAGTTTTAAATAATTTATGACTAATTTTAGCCAACATTGTCCTTGTTTCTTTAGGGACTATTTTATCCTTTTTGGAAAATATATCTTTTAAATTTCTCCAAATTAGATTTTATAGGCAAACTAAAAGGCAGACTATTTACTAAACTTGTTGTCACCCAATTGAGCATTTTAATATAGCTGATTAAAACTAATTCAGTAGTTCTTGCCCTGCCTAGCAGAATTATACTTCTGGATATAGATGTTCTAGAATTTTGGTTTCAAGATGCCACATTTATGAAGTGAACTTTATTGAAAGGTGTGCTGGTCTTGAGCTCAGATCCATTTTAGATACCCTTTTCCTGCTTTCTCTTCTGTATCGAAGGGGGATTAACTGCAGGCTGCCTCCTAGATGGGGTGTAGGAAATCCAATGGGAAACTCAAATGAGAGTTTTAAGGAATGGAGAGACCAGGGCATTTCTTCTCTTCATTTCACATGTTGCCTTTGGTAGTGTTACTGGCAGAAACTTTCTTTTGTGACTCCTGTTTCCATTGCTAGGCTGTAATGGTACTGCTAGGCTGTAATACTATTCACTGTACAGCCCTGGCCTCAGGATTTTGTAGCACTACCTCTTTCCTTTGTCTCTAGCCTAGAATGGTTGCTTCTTCTTGGTATTGCTAATGTCTAGTTGTCTCGCTCCTCTCTTGATAATTTCTCATATCATTTGTCCTGTGTGTAACCAACTTCCTGTATTATTTCTCCACTATTTTCATAGTTTATGGTTTCTGTTCTCTTAGTTAGACTCAAATTGATTTGAAGGGCACCTTTAATTTTGGAGGTTCAATCAGGTATGTTCTCTGCCTTTATCAAGAAGTCATTGTTACACAGAGAGTATTGAGTCACTGGAACCTGTGATGGATTGAGCCAGTTGTTTGGTGCTAAGGTACTTTCAGAATCCCTTCACTAAAAGACATTTCATTGTATCCAAGAAGTGATAACTAAGAACTTTCTGTCTTCCTCTTCACAAAGGTATAACTTAGGAGTTTGTATTACCTTAGTGCCTTTCTTTGTAAGCATCAGTGGAACTGAAGTCTAGCACATTGTGTTCAGTGCTCTCTGTGGAATCTTACACACTGCAGTTCATGGCAGTTACTCTAAGGCAGTCAGCTCTGTATGGCCTTAAGAAATTTGCATTAAGCTTTCAAGTAGAGTTATACTAAAATTTTGAGTCGCCTTTCTGAATTGGCATTATTATTTACACTAGTTTCTAAATCCTGTAAGTCCACTTCTAACTTTGGTACTTCTAAGATTTCTGTGCTGAGAAACTGGAAAATTCCAATTTCATAATTAAACAAGAAGCAAGTATGCTTTCTAAAACATATCCAGCATATTTCAAACATTCCTACTTTAGCTGAAACACTGGACAGTTGGTAAATAACTGGCTTTTAAATCTATTGTTAAGCCATGTTTTAGCTTTAAAGCCACAGTGAAACCATGCCATTTCAGCCAACAGCATTTTAAAATTAGAATATTGCTTAGACGTCTTTTGATTTTTTTTCTTTTACATATGACATAGTAAGGATGCAAAAATCCAGAATAACCCAAGTTTCAGCTACAGCTATGTTTTTTTTTTTCTTTTTAAAAGTATTTTCAACAAGGAAAGACAAAAAAGAATATACCCAAAGGAATTGGACACAGATGTTTAATGGACTTGAAATCCAATATAGCATTGTAGGCATCGTATATTGCAGACATGAACATCTGTTTTCTTCTACTGTGGTCCACTAACTGTTCTGTGGCTTAATTTTGATATGTAGATATGTTTTTAAGTCTACATTTGCATGTGAACTTTGCATTTATTGTGGAAGGTGTTCTTAGGTATATTTTCAGATTTAGACTTGGCTTTAATTTCACATTTTTTAATTTTATTGAATGGAACTTCTATTTTATAAAATTGTTATCCGTTTAATAGAATGTAATTTCTACAAGATGTTAACATTTATAACTGTGAGTATCTGTTGTCATTTTTCACATTTTAGGTTACCAGAATAATCCTTCTTTATGATTTGTTATTTCTGATTACATAATGAAACTAATCAAAGTAAGCATCCTACTAGCCAAATTGACTTATTTTGGTGTTGCTGTTTTCCAACTGTTTTCAGCATCACCTTGCAAACATTGATAAAATCTCTCATTGTGTGGTTCAATTCCCAGCATGATTCTTACTTGTACCTAAGTTATTTTCTGTCATCATGACCAGAAAATAAAATTGCACGTTAGGTGAACTTCATGTTTCATTGTCATGATCATTCATGATATGCATTCAGATTATCTAAGGCCTTTGTAATTTTTCTGTCTTATTTTTCACTTAAATGACATGAAACTTTTTCTTGACTCTCATTATTCTTGGATTTGTTCTAGAAACACAAATTAACTTTCCCATCTTCACCTACGCAGGTGTATCTGTAATGTACCTACATGCACATGACCACACCCACAATGTTGGAGTGTCTTTGTTTTTATTACTCTTTATTATTGATAAATGGTTTTTCAGGATTTCATAGGTTTTATCACATAGAAAACGTGAATCTGACCTATCAGTAGTCCAGAAACTGAACGTGAAGCTTTTCATAGTTCCCATTTTAAACTGGTAGTTATTGAAAAGTTTCTGTCATTTTTTAGTTTGCCATTTCAGCCAACTGCCATTAGGATAGTCTGCCTTTCATGGTCTGTTTTCTTTCCTTAAGTGATAAAATGATAGTTTAGTAGGTTAGATAAGATGGATTAATTTTAGAGTCAGGGAAGATATACAGGATTAGCAACACAATTTTCAACTATATAGTTGGGTTTATTGCCTTTCTTTGATAAGAAATCTGCTTAAGGCTTGAATTTCAGGATTTTAAAAATTATGTTTTTCCTTTTTTATACATATTAATATGAAATTTTAAGCTAACTGAACTTTAATATAGTTTTGTTTACATAAAATATTTTCTGAAAAAATAGTCTCATATGTCCAATGGTTCAAGATAAACAAACGTTATACTTCCATCTCACTATATATTGGTTGCCATTTTTCCCCCTTCCATTTCATTTTCCTTTGTTGTTCCACTAAAGAAAAGGCGTCTTTTCATGATAGGATTTCTCTTAATAACCCCAAATAATAAACATTAAAAAATCATTTTTTAAAAATAACAAATGTTAAAATCAAAAATAGCAAAAATATGTAAATTGTAAAAATTGTTCTTTTCATGACATTTACTGTTGTCTCAGTGTCTTGTTTAATTCTGCAGTCATCTTTTCTTTAGCATATTTTTGGTAGAATTCGTTTCCCGTTTAATGGAAGTTACTAATGATTTGTAAGAGCAGAGTATGGGTTAGCACATTGCTTTGTTGATATTTCTCTTAGTATTTTACCTTCCCTGTCAGCCAAACCCCTAGTAGTCCTGCAAGACTTGTTTCAAGCCTCACCTCTACGAAACTTTCCTTTTCTGCCCCTTGAATATAAATGTAAAGTGCTGAGGACACTCTGCACTTTAGTTTGTTTCCATTACTGCTTTTTACAGGATATTATATCTTTTTCATCTATCTTTTTCAGTTCTCCTGACACCGGCAACCAGAATGGTCAGATTCTATGACAGATTATTCAGTAAAAGTAGAAATACACTTGAAGGAAAGAATGTTAATACATGGGGAGAACATTCTTAGGGCTTTCTCCTTAGTTGATGAACCCTTTGTAAAAGCAAAAGACCCTATTTCCATAGCTAGCATTCACTAATTGACCCTGTCTATAATTAGTGCAAAAGAATATAAAAATCAACTGATGGATGTGGATTGTTTGGGTTGTAAATATTTTTAGTTTTTTTCTTAATATTGACTGAATTTAAATGTACTATGTGTTTCAAGCAAAATAGGCAATACTGATCATGCCTAGTTTACATAAAGTA